AGGAAAGTCTGAGTTTGTATTTGAGCAGTCTCTTGCACAGACTTCCTATCAGTAGATATGGCTCCATTTCCAACATGTCCATATGCAAAGGTCTTTGAACAACTTATAGAAATAAAAGTCACACTATCTGACTATGGTATAGTTCAATGACAATGTGTGTACAATGTAAATTTCATAAACAACACTGGATTTTTAATAATTTTCTGTTCCTCTTCACTTTGCCACAGGTAACCTTGACCCCAAAATGCCTCTGATGCTTTTTTTCAGAAAGGGGAAGCATTGTGTGGATGTGTGCGAGTCTACACATCACCATCGCATCCTACATTATGTGGACTTCTTTTGTGCAGAGGTCTACACTATATGCCTTGCCTGCACACAAGGCATAGACAAAAAAATGTAACAATTTGGACTCGGGGGGGGGCTACAATTGGGTCCCTGGTAACTATCAGGCTAGCATGAAAGCCCAAATTTGTTGCAGTTATGGACTGGTTTGGTTTATGCAGAGTGCACATAAGTGATCCCAGTGTAACAAGACCGAACAATCTGACTTTTTCAAAACCAGGAGTCTGACCCTAACGATTTGGACACTATATGTTATACATTACCTTTCCTGTTGAATCTGAGAACTTGGGTCTTGGCAAAGCCTTGCTGGTCCAGTTGCCCAAAATGCTCATTTGATTCTCATACTGCAGTAGCATTGCAGAGGTAATTAAGAAAAAGTGTTACAAGTGTGACATTCGTGTAAGGTAAAATTTTGATCAGATTTGGGAAGAATTTTCATCATTACCAAGAATAAAATATTTAATCTGTTATGAACAGCATCAAACAAACCTCGTTCTAAAGTAAAATCTGACTAAAATACATGTAGCAACAACTAACATATCTGAGCAAGCACATAAGAACGCTACACTTTACTTCAATTTTTGTATTGATCATCAGATGTCGCACAATTTCCAGTAAAGAATAAGTGCATGATTCCCCCCTCTCCCTACAGCCAAAGGCCCGGCATTATAAACATGCATTTAGAGCTATTCCCATCAAGGGCTCAAACATTCCTTTCACTCAATTTTAATTCCTGGATAAACACTTGAATATTATCATAATTGTACACTATCTTTGTACTAAACTTTCCCAAAAATCTGTTTTTCACTGGTTGATTTTTAAAGAACCACTAAATCTGCAAGAGCAACTACATGTACAAACATGCACGTATTTCAAAAGCAGCTACTTATAACATATATTTAAAGTCTCACTGTTTCAGCAAAGACCGCAACAGAGGAATCTGTTAGTCCTTTCTGGAAGTTCTCAGAGTCTGCCTCAAGGCCTAGCCACAGCTTCATTCGCAACATAGCTGGGATCTTCTTCGCTCCAATGTTCATTGAACTCTTTCCAGCAAACTGAAAAACATGAAATTACATGAAATTCAACAATGTGTAGGTATTTCACATTCCTCCATGCATGCGCATGCCACAACAACTGGTTTCACATGTGAACAGCAAGGTCTACTTCAATGTTTTGCAAGCTGAAAACGATTATCGGTCATTCTGCTTATCTTACTTTAAAACACAAATGACATGCACATTCAGAGGAATAAACTTAAAAGAACGTCCAAGGGCAAATGTACGATTGAGGCCAAGAAAAAATTAAACATGTTTAGCATCTTGATTCTTTAAAAAAGGAGGTAGGGCTTATAAAGTTTGTTTTTTATTTTACCTTAAACATGGCAGCCATTCTTTCCAAAATTTGCAACAATCACTTGTGTTACAAATGTTCCATAATACCAAAATGAAAGAAACATGTTGAACAAGAGAATTGACAGATTTGAATTAAATTAACATTGGTTTGGATAGGCATGTTTGTAGTCAAGTTCCACTAGAATTAAAAAACACAGCCGCTTCCATAAACATGTGTACAATCTGAAACTGCAGCCAGAGTGATCAGAAGTTCTGAAATGAAGTATTTATTTCCTCTAGGGCTGGGTTACATTTCAACTTTTCTCATCTAATGTTTTGTTTTTAAACATGAAATCAAGGCAGCTTCCAAAAATGAAGAATGCTGAACATGATTTTTTCCCCCGAATTTCGCCATACTATGTACAAAGGCATGTTGGAAGCGAGACACTGGTGCCATATGTACACACAGCAGATAGCATGTTGCATGACATCTGAAAATGCATTGTCCAAGTGGGTGTTATTATCTACACGTAAATCCTTCTTTCAGAATGACAGATCTCAAGGTTTGCATTTCACAGTAATATTACATTAATAAGTTCAAATTCAATACAACATGTTGAAATGGACTGTGCAGTAAAGACACTGTGAGTGGTTAAGCCAGAGACTCATATCAGGCAACTGCCAAATGACCCATATCTGCCAGTGAAGGAATGCCACAGATCATTAGATTTTTATGGAGGAAGGAAAACCAGAGATCCCAGAAAAAAGCCCACTCTGGCACTGGTGAGTAAAAAGAACACTTTGGCAGAGGGGAGAATTAATGAACAGCTCTACTCATATACATGTATGACCGTGTATTGAACCCAGAACCCCAGTGTTAAGACGCAAACCCTTTTCACATGTGCCATCCACATGAGGTTATCAATATTTTTATTAAGTGATACAGGGAAAGGATCCTTGTTAAAAATGAGGAAATTGGCCTTCTCTGGAAAGTTTGTAGTCAGGGAAAAACTTACTTGAATGAAATATACACAGTTGAGGACACAGACATTCAAGTTTTCACTTGGAAAACACAAAACTGTCACTTCTGGTATGTCACTGTCATATGAACAACAGGGAAGAGTTCACTACGCCTGCACTTAAAGCTACACTTAAAGCTACCATGGAACTGTCACTAAGGGTAAAGTATGCAGGTGTAAGCATGATCCTAGCTACGCATGAAAAGATGGTGGCATGTGTACACATACAGTCGACTTTCATTATGAAACAAATATATAACATATATATATATATATAACAAATATACTGGTATAATTCTAGGAATCCCAATTTCTTGGTTTCTTTTTCCTTTCATAACAAACTCCTGGTTGAATATTGATCAACAATTTTAATGATGCCTGAAATTGTAATAGCAACTGAATATGTATTAGGTATGGTACAGATGTACTCGCAGGCTCGTTCTGCACAATCTGAGAAATCTGGCATTGGTTATCTGCCATACTGTCTTGTTGGCGAACTAGGCCGTTACACTTTTTTTTAACATTGGTGCCTGACTATTAGGGTTGTCCATATGAACTTAATCAAGGTCTAGAAATCTGCAAAGGTCACCAACTCAGATTTGGCTCTAATGAACATGCACACATACATGTATGTAGGCTATATTGGTGAATGTTTTGATGAAAATAGTGATGAATTCAGCAACTTCATTCATCCAGGCAAACACAGGACAAAGTGCAGGATTTTGCACTCATAGATAAGAAGTTGCCATCACTCACATGAATTTGTTTGAGTGATGAGTGGGCTTCTTTGTTGCTAGTGTACATGTAGTTCACAATTTTAACTGTAAGTCTGCAGCCCTTAGAGACAAACTTCATATCAATGAATCTTGAACAAAAAAGGTCTTGTTTCATGATCCCTCATGGTTGATGCTGGGCAATTTAATCCATTCTCTGCACCCCTTTTACCCCATATGTGATTTTTTAAGGGACATGATATTATGGATATATATTTTTTACTTCTGAATAAGAAGTGCGTCACTTCACCTAGGGCAACTTTAAATCTCAGAATCTAAGGGATGAAAAAGACCTTTCAACTCAACTGATTCTATTTGACAAAATTATACAATGAACAACGTTAATAAACAAGTTGGAATTCTGAGAATATAAAGGCAATATGGACAATTATGTGGAAAATATTTATAACTATGGGTGACTGCCCACATGTTGAAACCTCCAGTAGAAAATTGAAAATTATTTGATTATTTTTGAATCTCATAAGATCCTGACATTTATCATGAGTTAACCCCCTTTAGATTGTTTATGCACACGAGTGAGAGAGAGAGAGAGACGTTGATTGTGCATATGAATCTTGAGTGGAGTTATCACCTCTACTCCAAAAGAAGTTGATCAAAAACACTGGTTCCTGTGAATTGGGAAACGAACATGGGTTTTATTACCAGTGTGAGTTTTCTGTCTTCTAGTTTCAATGAGAATTTCATTGTCTGTTATTACTTCCTCACTTAAAATGTCAGCACGGACAACAAAAAGGTTAGCACCTTTATTCCATTAGGAAAACCATCACCACTAAAGATTAGTTTCAAAACTGTTATCCTGAGCAGTTTCCTCAAAACATGTACATCGTAAGAAACAATTACCATGTGATATCACAAATAAAATTTTACCCCACAGTGCATCTGCACGTAAGTGCCACTCTTATCTTACATCAATTTACCACACAAATGATAAATTACATGTACATGTACCAAGCAAAATTCAGTGTTGGGAGAGGGGTGTGTAACAGGAGTGAGAGTATTCATGATATATAAAGTGCAGTGCATGAGTAGCATGAAATTTCCAGGCTAACTTGCATCTTTTAAAGTCGTGCTTTGCCTACCATGGATGGAACCTGCTCAGATGGTCTTGGTGGAGATTCTGGAGTTTCTGGTGTCTGTTGTTTGGGAGAAAACTGATTACTACATGTCACATACGAAATATGCAACAACAAAATTTAAACGGTGTTAAAATTTTAAAACAAAAAATTCTAAATTGCAATTAAACTTAAAGAAAATGCAAACTAAATGAGCCTATATGAAGCTCACTGTGTTGCCAGTTTATTCTGTAAGTCAAAATACAATGCAAAATAAACAGCTGTGGAAACATTTACTGAAGATGGAAAAACCAGGATAGCCAAATATCTTATCAGATACCGATACTGCCATCATTACAAAATACATTTACGAGGCACCCAAAGGTTGTTTTTTCCTAAGGTTTAATTTTATATATTGCCACAAGGGCCCGGGAAGTGGTTTGGAATATTGAATCCGTCATGTTGTGGAACATAATGTACAGAGTCATTTGCATGTAGTACCGGTACCCATCATTCCATAATTCATAAATTTCATATTACAGTGTAGAGTTAGAGAGACAGAGAGTATACAAGTAGGTGTAAAATGTATGAACCCCAAAAAATAAGACCTGGTCGATTGACCAATCCTGCTGATGTTTTTCATGTGAGGTCAATACTATTTTTTTCTTCACCTTACATAAATACTCAATATTCATGCACATGTATATCCCACATGAAGATCATAAAAAAGTCACACCTGGCAACTGCAGAAAACATGGATCAGAACTGCCAGATACAATGTCTATACAAGTATTCTAATCCAACGGAAAATCATTACACCTCACCAAAGGGTGCTTATTCACTCACTACATGCAGACTGCTTGTAAAAATAGTGTTTCATTCGCATACAAATACAGTGTACCTCAAGTCAAAGCTTTGTGAACAATTAGTATTGGCAATGTACATGTTGTTTTCCAAAAATTATTAATTTCAAACCCCTGAAAAGTCAAGTAGCCCGTATGTGGTATATTGTATACATGCATGTACTGTACAGTACACGGACAGCGTAAAATCTCTATGAAAACTTGGCCACAAATATACATGTACCATGAATAAATAAACTGGGCCAAGAAAGAACATAAAAAACAATAAGAATGATATGTTAACAAACACAAGTGATGACCAAGCCCATGCCTACACCCAATGCTTCAGTTCTGGATCACACACAAGATTTATTTCTTTTTAGCAATGATGACCTTCACCTATGGATTTCACGCTCAAATGCAATCGTCTTGTTGGGATTACCAGGAGCAGTCCACCAATCAAATTTGTATTTAATGTGTATCTGACAAATTCCTTGACCCTTAACCTTAAATGCAATAGTCTTCTTGCCAAACCAAAAACAATGTGTCAGCCAAATCAAAGTACATGTATAGTACCTACGTAAAATATTTCTCAACTTGTTCTGATTTTTATTGCTTTAGCCACTGTGACGGTGACTTCTGACCTTTTGGCCCCAAACCGCTGCTCCATATTCATTAGGCTTTGTGGGAATACCCAAAATAGTGCACAAGCCAAGTTTAGAGCCAAAGTTCCTACATAAAGCATTTATCATATTATCTTACTGAAAAGATCATTCTGGACACGCAAGCATACTTGTTCCATAGTTGCGGGGACAAAAAAAATGACATTTCTCCTATTTTGTGGCAACCAAAAAATGTTACTGGAAGAGAGAAATGTTCCAACAATTCCTCCTTAATTTGCCTAACAAGAGAAATTGTCCTCTTAGCCCGGTGAAAGCCTACCCAAAGATACACATTGAAGGCCAAGGTAAACAAGGTATGCCTGTTCAACTTTGTCATGAGGCATACGTTCTCATCCCAAATAGACCCTTCAGTATGTTAATACAGTATTTTACCTTAAGAAAGATGCTGTTAAGCTTGCCACAGAGTTTTCCACAAGCATCAGGGTGAAGACTGGAAAACAGCAGATCATAGGAAGGGATACGATGGAAGGCAATACGTTTACTGCCACTTATCATCCACACTATCACATCAGGCATGCTGTTTTGAGGCTGAATGAAAAACGTGGAAATATTTCAATGTTCTGAGGGCAATATTCTCAGATTCATTGGTTTAAAAACCTACATGTATCACAAACTCTTCATTTATTTTAGACAGAGTGAGTTCTTCCTTCTATTGTTCTTGCACATGAACTTCCATCTTGACCACAGCCTGTAACATTGCACTGCTCTAAAGAGACAGAAGATATACCTTGTATGTTGGGATTAGTCTGCTGATTGAAAAGTATACGATATTGGCTTTCACTGAAGAACAAATAAAGCATTTAAATACGGTTGATTCACAAGTGTGCCTCCTAGAGTTTGCTACGCATTGACCAATCACAGTGAGCGAAATTTGTCCATCCTTTCCAAATGCGCATTAGGTCAACAGATTTCGCACACTGTAATTGGTCAATGCAATGCCAACTCTTGGAGGCACACTACTGTGATTTGCCCATATTAAGCAATGCTTGATAATGATGTACATGTAAAAGAAAACACCACAGAGAAATCACTAAAGGTACATTGTAGTCTAATTGTATATCTGCCTGCATACAGCAGCATATGCACGGTACTAAGCAACCAGGCGTGGACAGCCATGTCAACCCCCTGCCATGCATGCATACCAGGCGGTAGCCACTTGAAGCAATGTGAAGCACTTCACTCAACAGTCAAATGTGCCCACACTAAACTAAAACTCAGCCCTGTAAGTCTCACATTTTGAAATACACCTTTTCCTACGTCACACTTTGTCACGGATTCACAAATAGGACACCTTAAAATAAAAGGTTTTGACAAAAAAAATTGAACCCACATGATTTGATGAAATTAAGTATACTGTACATGTAACTCCCGTGCACATACTTATAATCCCATTTAATTACAATATTTGATTATTTTTACAAATGGGTTGAACAAATATTCTTTCATGGTATATGCCTGAAAACAGGTATTTCTTAACTTGCTGGAATGGCCCATTTACATGTGCATGAACACATGAAGGGACATGTGAACAAAGTATGCACTGAACTACTATGCTGTGTATGCTATCGAGCTGTACATGGAAATCACCGGTATCATACCATGTAGCAATCTACGTTTAGAAGGTTTTACATTTCTATTTTTATCAATTTCATATCCACTTTATAGTTCTTAGACTGTTCACTTGTCACAATTATACTGTGGTGACTTGTTTAGCATGATCAATGAAGCTCATGGGTAAAATTGTATGCATGGCTAAACTTCATGCATGCTACATTTAAACCCAAATCATGTGTTGGTAGTTTTTATATTATCATGTTACCCACTGGCAAAAAAATAAACACCCTAATGTGAAAACTGACAGATGCCCATGAGGAAGGATGGAAATTGGTATTAAATGGACTTGCATTTGCTTCAAAGTTCGGCAGAGATGACCTCAGAAGGTTTCATTCAATACACAGTAAAATGAGACAGAGAAGAAATTTAGTTCAACTTTAAACTGTGTGCAGTTCAATATTCACCTCAACAGCCAACTCCTGCAATATGTGCAGATAGCCCTGTATTTCTTCCATGGCTTCACTGACATCAGTGGCATTTTCTCTTAGCTTGGTAGCTTCCTCCACGATAGTAGCAAGACAAGCAGTGCGTGTGTCAAAGCGACGCTGGTCTAAAATGTTGGCCTTGTCCTTGGTGGGATCAATAGCTGGAAGTGGCTCCCTTCCAGAAGTATGAGAAATAATAATGCAGAAATAATTCTCTTATATTGCAACCACAAGTCAAGTCACTTCACTCATTTTGAGCATTTATGATCAATTTTTGAGATTACACTGTAAATTTTGCCAATGTAAATAGCAACAAGAAGAACGTTGTATTTGTCGTGAGACAAACACTGAGCACAAACTCTGAACACACACAGTACAAGGTGTATGTGTGTATACTATGCTTGGGCATAGAATTTTCAAGCGACAGACCACTGCTGGTATGTTTTTTACATCAGCAGGTTACATGTACATGTGTTGACAATGAGACAAGCCTATTGCTTAGGACGGTATAGTTTATTCTATCATTTAAATGCATAATTCCAGATAATACCTTTCACGGAAGATTTTTATCTTTTCATCACAACTTTTGGTTTGATGATGTCATCAAATTCAAACTACACACACGTTCATATCTGTTACCAATTTTAAATAATAAGGCACTTCCAGTTTTGACCAGATGCAAAAGTCACAAGATTTTACGTATACAAGAAAAAATAAAGACCTGTACTGAGCAAGTTACAGGAAGTTACAATTAAGTCTACGTGGATTTTTAAAAATTGAATATATTATACGAGTAATCAATGTTTTATGAGTGCAATGAAAAGAAAAATTGCACGAGGTGAAAGATGAAACGCTTCGCCCCTTCACCGAATAGATTGTTTCATATGTTAACAAACGCAATTATGTTTACCATCGTACAAATGTGAAACATTCTTTGTTTTATACAACACCTGTATAAATCCTCATTATCTGATTTGATTATACTTGTGGCATATTTTCTTTGTCTTAGTGCTGGCAGCATCAGCTGTGTTAACAAGCTTGTCAATTTCTCTATTAGGTAACATTGTGAATGTCGGATCTAAGTCTGTCATGTTGCTGTGAATATTTTCCACCACAGCGCCACCACGCGGAAGCAGCAGAGCAATCGATCCAGAGGCATTCATTATCAATTTCTAATGCTCAGTTGTTAAAACATTTTTGCACTCTGCATGTGCGTCGCACGTGCGCGCCAGCTGTGTTGGTACAAATAATTCAATGCCATGTGATCAATGATCCACCAATCAGATGAGGGTAGTTATGCAGGTGTTGTATAAAGAACTTTAACAACTTAAAGAATGAAAAATATGAGAAGAATGCTGTGTTTTGAGAATTTTTTTCGGTTCAATAATTAGAAGTTAGAATGGGCAGTAATCAAACAACAGTCGTAAAGTCCGTAGTTCAATATTGAATCATCGGACTGCACACTGACTTGCTTCCACCGACACATCAAGATCTGTGACGACCCTTAAAGTGATTTGAAGTGAATGCATGTACTGAACACACGTGCTGTACGTGCATGGTTTTAACCCAATCAGACATACACACCAGAAGAAAGTATTTTTACCGGCAGGCAACAGGCCGGAATCAAATTCAGGTCTGTAGGAACACTACCCTCCTTGCACAACGTGCTGATTCCTTTCACTGCAACAAATCTGCCCGACTATTTGCAAGAGCATGACAATACACGCTCACACACTTTCCCGAAACAGTGTTGCTTCATTGTATGTTACATGTACAAGGCCCATGGCTCACACTGCTACGGCTCTTACTGCTACGGGCTGTGTTGCCAGCAAAAGCTACAGATGGCAACTGAAGATTTAACATGAAGAGAATTTAAGCACCTGTAATTTGACACCTGATGATATCATCATGGCATTATTCTTCTAATACATTTTTGGGGTGTGAGGCTTTGTCTTGTGTTACTTTGATAAAGATGCAAGATTGTCAAGTAACCCAAATTGGCTTTGGAAATCTGTATACAAAGTCGATGGGGAAAAAAATAAACGTCCAAAATTCTCTAATAAATCATGTGATGACGTCATGACGTCATAATTAGGCACAAATTTTCAAAGTTGTCCAACTACATATGTGTGCTGGGTTTGAAGGGGATCGGCATCAAGGAAGGGGCGAGAGTCATGTGTAGAATAACCTTGTGCTGCCCATTAGCAAAAAGTGGAAAAAGGGGAGGGGGAAGCATCATTTTTTTAAAGAAAACCAAAAGCTGTTTCAGCCAGTGCCCGAAACAGCTAATTAAGAAAATAAGCTAACTAAATCTTTGTTGTATTTTGCTATTAAGATTAAGCTTTAAAAAGTGCTTAGTACATGCATCAGGAAAATGCAGGTCACGGGTCTGACTCATATTCCATTTGATCAAGCTTGGGAAGTATTTTTAACAATCTCTTGGACAGCAATAAGTACACACTGCCTATTAAGTTGCGCTGATGAAAGGCATAACCATGTACATGTACATGGTGTCAAGACACACCATGAACAATATAGGCACAAAATCAACATTATCCCCCCTCCCACCCGATCAATTCTCATAAGAAAACATTGGATGGTACAGAAACACAAAGAACACCCCAAAACTAAACATATCTGTACAAGTTAGGAGCAGAGTTGCAATCAAACACTTCCCATGTACCGGTAGTTAGTTTACTGCTGGCTATTTAAGATGGTGTGGTATGCATAAATCTGTATCCATGTAATACAGCACTAGACCATGTAGAGATATCAGGTACATGTACCTGTCATTAACTATAAGAAAAATAATTAACTTAACCAACAAGTATTGGAAAGGAAGCCATCTTTAAGACATAAGTATGCAGGAAAACTTACAACGTACTTTGAGCACTAATGTCTATATATGTTTAACTTCATTCGCCGACTAATGTCAATTTCTCAAACTGTATTCTCAAAAAAACAACTCAATATTTGGCGGTTCAAGTACGTGGAGAGCAATTGATTGTGATTCTCATTGAGAGGTAGCAAGTGCATACATCTTACCTGCAATCAGCAACTAGCTGGTCTATCGTTCCTATCAGCTGAGCGGCTACCTCAGCAGGTGGGGCTCCAGCCTTCAAACTCATTTGAACCTTCTCTATGTTGGAACTCTAAAACATGAATAATAAATAAAAATAAATGTACTAGTTCTATCAGCAACAAAACAATCCATAAATTTGTCTTTGAAAGAAATTCATGTGGACTTGATTTACATGTATGGCCATAACAGTGAAAGAGCTGCCATGCCACCATAAATTACAGTGTACATTATGTTTCTCCAAATCCTACAGAAAGTGGTCTGCATCACTATAGTGTAGCTTTCTACTAAAACATGGAGTACATATGCCAACAGCTATCAAACTTCTTGGGGGAACCCTAGCATAATTTTCCCAGTTATATGTATCAGTAAGTCAGTTTAAAGTAGTATTAAAAAGGCTTCAAATATTTCAACATCTAGGGTTTTGGAGGTGGCCACCCCAAAATCAGTATACAATGGATTTATCTTCTAAAAATTGAAACGAGAGAAATAAAAGGCAATTTCTTTCCACAACCAACGGGGCTGATTTTGGAAACACGCGAGGTCAAATGAGGCATGAAGATACACATGAAGATACATGTAAGCTGGCATCAATGTGGCCCCGGGATGCATTAAAATGAGTTTTGATGACATGTAAAAAATGCAAAATATACATTAATCTCTAAGATGTATAAACCTAAAATTTTACTCTTAGCTGGTCAAAATTGTGAGATTTGTTCCAAAATGAGGGAGTACGGGACATTGAAGGTGGAGAGTGCACTCGTGTTCAGTGTGGGAACAGCTACACTAAAATAAGGCGGTCAAGCATAGGAATCAGTACCGAGACTGGTATCTTGGCCTGAATTGCAGGCTACATGTACCTTGTAATGTGTGCTTGTTTATTGCTGAGCCTACCATGTTCAGTGTGTTGAAGGAAAACAGATAAACACATATAGGATTCTTCTTGTGAAAGTGTGAAGATTCATTTCCTATGAAAGTAACCACCGACTCGCCGATGAATGAGGACAATGGCAAGCAACCTGGCAGTGTTGCAGGGCTCACTGCCGTTGCGGTCCCAAACACAAACCTGGCAGTTGTGCAGAAGCACAGCACCGTACATACACCGTACTGTCAGATGCCATACAACACCAGCACTCGGCGAGGCTTATGTGTCGCTTTTCTCAGTTTGGAGTGCTTTTGCAGACACTGGATATTTGTTGAAGCAGTCCTCAATAATCCTTGGCACAGTATATTTCATTTGCGACAACCAGGAAGGTTTAAAATCTATCCTTAATGCATTGTCCGTGAACGATCGATTCAATACAGTTTTGCATGGAACAGCGAGACCAAGTCTCAGTGTACGAGATTCCTGTCCGAAACTACAAAGTGCACAAGACTGGGGAATGTTTTATTTTATGACAAAACAAAACAAATCACGCACTTAAAATTGATGGATGGAAGAATCAACATTGCATACAAGAACTGTGCAAAAACGTTAAATTTTGAGCTGGCCTCTACTATGCTCGTGTGTGAAATATACACACTGTTGACAACCGTATCGCCCCCATGACGTTTTGGGGTCACCAGCATATCATAAATACATAATGAACATTTCTTAAATAGGCGAAACAGGGACTCGCAGAAGCCCACGTTTGAGACGTTTTTTTGGTCATAAATGGGAAAAGTGTTTCATTTCTTCATGTTAATTTTGAAAGATGGTCTTATCACCTATTGTTTAAAGGCTATAATTGGAGAAAGACTGTTTTCTTTTTCATACCTCTTTAAGAACGTAATTGTAGAAATCATTTTATCCCTTCATTCGAGTGAACTTAAGGAAATTCATGTCATAACATCAAACCCATAGATTGATGTTTGAAGTCAAATAAAGATATAGACATATTATAATGATAATTTCCAAACACAAAATAACAAATATCATAACATACATGTACCCCCCAAGAAACTACAATATGTTCTAGCCACAATGATAAGGACAATCGGCAGTCAAGTATGGATGATGATCATTGTCATATTAAATCCTTGGCTCAAAGACAAAGTACATGTACTAAGGGTTGTGTGCTATGAAAATGACATGCTTATCTTTTCTGAGATCCTAACTCTGCTGCTCCATTAACACAAGTACATGTAAGTTAGTGTTTTTAATTTCTCATTCATGTCAAAAGTGGAAATGATGTGAATAAATCATCTCTTAACCCTAACACTCCTCAATCCTTCACCTGTTGGAGGACTCAGGACTGTTAGGGTTAAAGAACCTGTAATTTAGCATACATGTAGAGCACATTAAAGCAAAGATTTGTCCCTGACATGTGAATTTGAGCCAGTGAGCAACAGGTCAGTAAATTTTATTTACCTGTTAATGAAGTTAATCACAAGGCGCAATAAGGTACGTGTACATGAATGTTAGCACTCAAAAGAGTATAGTAATTAAACTTCCTATAATCCATCAAGGAAACCAAGCCTTTCCCCATAAAACAATATTTCGATATGCAAAACTTTGATAGTTTTCTCACCAGACGTTCCACTTTGCGCAGTAGCAGGTTGAGCGAGTTCAGTCTAAAACTGACATCTTCCCAATCAGAGTTGATGACAACAAGAGGCTTATTCTCCACCCATGGCAAGAAGTAATACTTGCAGCCATCATACACTGCGTTGGTTGGCTGTGTTGTTGATGCCTGTGGTTCACAATTCTCATCCAATTTGTTTCCGTAGTTACCAATGCTGACCTCGAATTCCACAGGATCATCACTTTCACTGACCATAGTGGCATCAATGAAGCAGGCATACAGGATGTATTTGCGACGGCGGAGGTATTTCTGCACACGTAGGACATCTTGGTGGCTGAGCTCCTCAGCTTGCACTTCAGGATGTTCACCTAATTTGGTCTCCAAGCTCAGCAGCACACGACCACGATATGCCACACCTTCTCCCTGCAAGCAGGAACACGGGATTGGGATACATAACAATGCCTCATACCAACTCATTTATTTTAGTATTTCTGCTTCATTTCTGCTTTCTAAAGGATGTGATCTGCTTTGAGACCTTTTTCCACCAAATGTAGCCGTAGACCAGTGTATAGTAATGCTTGATCGTAAGCACCCAATGTTGAAAATTTGGTGATCTCCACTCCTCTGAGGTCCATTTTGTCAATAGATGATAGCATGAATGTTGTTTTGAGACTCCGTTAGAATTGAATTAGAAGAGTTTTAGAGGCCTTTCAATGTTTTCCATGCTCTTAAATTTCGAATTTTTTTTTCAAAAATGTTTTGACCCACCCACCCAACCCATTTTTGATAGGAAAAAAACATTTTTTCCATTCAGTATTATACCACGCATGGTGCAGCCATGCTGTATGCTGTGCCATGACCACACCTACAAATTCACATCTACAGCAGTCCTTGATATAATATTCTTCTGGATATAAAAGCTCTTTTTTTTTGCACATTTACACTTTTTTCCCATTGACTATGTGCATTTAACTTAATGCAGTTACACCCCTCTCATTAACAGCACTTTAAGGTCTAAATATCATGTCCCAGATAAAAACATGGGAAATATTCACCTGAATTTTGTATTACACAGCAGTGCATCAGCTAAAATGGGTTGCATTTATGAACCGGCTAATGCTTTGTAAGCCCGGCGATGATCCAACAGAAAGTACATGCACTGAGATTTCGACGTGAATATACGAAATTGAAAAGTACCTACATGTATGCATGAAGAGTATTCTAATTTTGTGAACTAACTCTCAAAAAGTATTTCTATTTTCTTGTTATCGTTCATGTTTTCAGCTTATCACATTTCTGAATGCATTATGTTGTCACGGGTGTGACTGATACCCCGCCATTCCATGTCATTTTTGCTGTCTCCAGCATTAGGAACCAGTTTAGCATTCATGCTTCTGTAACTGGGAACAAAGCTGAATAAGATCGTAGTTCACGTAGGTCAAAATTTTGATTTCTTTTTCTTTGAAAAGTACATTTCGTTTTTTAATAATTTACCTAGACACACCCACCATATCAAGAAAAAATAGACTGCAATTTCAAAACATTGAACATTTTGAGTGGCCTCTTACCTTTTTGAGCAAAAGGTTATTGTAGTCCACCCCTTTCAGACATGTCTCATATCAATAGTTCAGCACCATAATAAACATCAATGGGTCACATGACTGCCGGTTGGCAATCATGTAATAGCAAAACATGATTTTTCAGTTTGATCACAGCCAATTTACAAAGGCGACATCAGAACCCACGGCACTGCAAACACGCTGATACCACACAACACACTCTTAAATATTGTCCCTTCACAAGTAAGACCTTTAATTTTCTCCACATCCGAGTTGGTATCATCAATCCTAAATATATTTCCTTAAATTAAAGCAATTTTTATTATTTCCATGAGGCAAATTTTGATAACTTTTGTGGATCAGCAATATTCAGCAAAATATGTGCAATTTCAGGATCAATAGGCAGCATTTCAAATGGGCAAGCTGTGCACACATGAAGATTGAATATTCAGACTGAAATTGAAGTGATTACCTTGCCCATGTTCAAATCTTCATACTGGTCAGGAAGCTCCGAGAACTCTCTGGTTGATCCATAAAAGTTGACAAAACACGGACCAAAAGTGGGGAGGAAACCTGATTCAGTAAAAAGGAAAACCAATGTAAAACACTTAAATCATGTACTTGTATATTCATAAAACACTGATATTGCAATTTTTCCCTACAGGGATCTTTACACAAACTGCCAAATAGATAATGTAACCTGTCAGGGATGTATTATACAAATATTGACTGCTTTGATGAGTGATATAGTATTCTCCCAAAGTGATCCACGAAGCGTTCTTTTTTCCCCCAAGGTGAAATCAATATTTGTTTTATAACACCTCACCCAAAGACTCTGCACAATTTAAGCTAAAACGCAATAATAAAACAGCAAAGAGCAAAGCGTCAGTGTTCCATTTTGCAAATCATGTGTTAGCATGTGCGTACCATGTGACCCTGACTATTTGCATTTTCGTTCTCTTATCTATTCAATTTGTAGCTGCAATCCTGGACAAATCTCATTGTAACATGCCCCCCTCGTCCCCTGTCAATGCCGTTTCTCATTGGGTAAGTTGGGCAGAATCAGAGGGGGATCTTTTCACCGAGCTTCCCACAATGTGTTCCAACTATTTTGTCCAGGATTGTCTGCGTTTCTTTGTGGAAAGTGGGTATCATGAGTGTGGGTCTGTGTTACCCAGGAGGGCGGGGGGTTTTCCGCGTTTCTGTTTTGGGCACTTCCGTGTGATGCTGTAAGCATTAGATGGTTATGGAATGGAATAAATAATGACTATTATAGGCAAGGTGTGGTAGTATGCCCTGTCAAGAGCATAATACACCCCCACCAAAAAAAGTATATGTAAATACACATGTACACAGTTATTTAATATTTAGTGATACAAAAGCTATGGGTTATGATCACCCAACGGTACAGGATTCTTTCAGTGGAAGGGTCCATAGTAAATTTGCGCAGATGGGATTGCTGCTCGCAGGTATCAGCAACAAGAAGCAAGCTGGCCGTTGAAAATGGGATAAGTTGGGCGTATCGTGAATGGTGCACCATACAATTTCAGCACACATCTCTCTCAAGTGAAGTTTTTTATTTGGTCTGAAGGGCTCTATGGTTACATGAGGAATACACAATTCTGTCTGATCTCTTTTTACTTTCTAGTTGGGTTTCAGATGAAGCATTGCAATGGTGCACATGAAAAAAAAGGATGTGACTCTCCTTTTTTCGGGTGAGGCAGTGTACCGTTGCAGTTGTTATCGTGCACGCCCCTGCAGCATTTTTCAAGAGCGGGATGTACGCACTTGATGGTTCGATGGGTTTGAGAGTAACAGATAAAGGTTTATGCTATAAGCCGAGGTACATGCCTGTGCTATTCCTAGTTTCATTGCTACGGATATATATATACAATGTAGTTCTTTGATTGCTACAGCTACACATGTAGTTCTTTTTCAGAGCGAGGATATATGTGCATAGATGCGTGTGTCTGAAGTGGTGGTACAAAAATAGTAAATCTAGCAAGTGTCACATGACACACTTGCAGCCAATAAAGATACAGAATCTGTGGGTGAGGTGTTATAATGCTCAATATAGCAACACTATACCTAACATTATACATGTACATTTATGTGCACACTTTAGCACATGACTGGTTTACAAACAGATATGTTGAAAAGGTTTATAATATGTTTTAAGTCAACTACTATAAATAAAACTGCACATCTAAAGGTATCTGGTTTGACAGGATGCACCCTATCACTGGCATGGAAGAGATAGGCCAGTGAGAAAAATTTTACATGACACAAACAAGATTGTACATTTGAAATAGGCTGCACATGTTTGGCACAGTGTCCCAAATAGGCATGCACTTGTGTGCTTATGGTGTTTTTTAATCGAAGAGATTTTACCTCGCATGAAAACATACATGTACCAACTGTTGCTCCTGCATGAAACCTATATTTTACCAAGAGTATGACACCAGGTAATAAACTGAAGAGATATGTAAGGTGTCACAGTAACAAACATGTCACAGTGTTGTAGCCCTGTCCATCACAAGTCCTTTCACAAAACAAGTCATAAAGAGTAGGAAGGATGAAAAAGCAATGCATTTGCCACACTTCTAGTAGCTTGTGATTTGACTGGCAACTGGATAGTTCGTGAGGGACTTGTGATTTGACTGGCAACTGGATAGTTCGTGAGGGACTTGTGATTTGACTGGCAACTGGATAGTTCGTGAGGGACTTGTGATTTGACTGGCAACTGGATAGTTCGTGAGGGACTTGTGATTTGACTGGCAACTGGATAGTTCGTGAGGGACTTGTGATTTGACTTGCAACTGGATAATTTGTAAGGGGCTTGTGATTTGACTGGCAACTGGATAATTTGTAAGGGGCTTGTGATTTGACTGGCAACTGGATAATTTGTAAGGGGCTTGTGATTTGACTGGCAACTGGATAATTTGTAAGGGGCTTGTGATTTGACTGGCAACTGGATAATTTGTAAGGGGCTTGTAATGTGACTGGCAACTGGATAATTTGTAAGGGGCTTGTGATGAAATGACTACAACACTGGTACACTAAAAGAAATGCATCACACTGCAAGTCAAACTCCTTCAAATGCGTCAAATAATTTCATCTAAAGCCACTGGCCAATCTTTGATTTACCAAAGGGAAGAGGGAAGAGAATGCCCAACATTAACAGGTGAAACCTGAATACATAAGCAGGCTATGCATTTTGTTTATTCATCTAAGAGACATTTCTGTCTTGAAAGTTATTTGGGAGAAGACACAGGAAAGAAAGTATCCCCTCTTCCGTAAAATAACCAAAACATGAACACACACACAAAAAGAATTGAAAACAAATGGGGGACCAAGCAGGGGGTGTCAAACTCTGAATCTGCTGCTGTAAACAATTAACTCAAAACAATGCTGCTCAGGGTCTCAACAAAACGTAAAAAACAAAAATACAGTCAAACTGCAGATAAATTCTGCTCGAATTGACTGCATAATTACACGTAAAGAAAGAGAAAGCAATCTAAAAATCCTCACCTTTCAGAGCTTCACAGTCATTCATAACACAAAAATAAAGACTTTTAAATGCCAGCTCATTACACAGAAACTTCAAACTCATATACACTGTGAACACTGTTACTAACTTGACACAATACCACTTCTTCATGTTTCTTTAGAACTATTTTCAGCTCATTAAATTTCTAAACAATTATACACCAATCCTTAAATGGATCCTCCATTTAGGGCCATAAAAAGCCCAGTTACACGTACACTGTACATGTATGTACATCCATCACAGCTACACTATGAACATCTAACAAAAGAAACACAGTATCCATTGTTATTGCACTTTTTTTTACACATGGTTGCAAAGAGAAATAAAGCAAGGGATCATGAATGCAGGTTGACAGGACATTTTTAGTCAAACTGCTGACATCACTGACTAAAAGGGATAAGCTTTTACAGTGATGCACATGAACATGTAGACACATCTTTGAATTGAAACTTGTGTTTGAATGGTACAAACTTTAACCTGAAGTTTGCATAAGCATACTATTTACCAATTACCCGGAATGTATGCAACTAAAAGTAAAATTGTTTAAGGACTTGTCAGACCATCTAGAACAGTTCAAGAGGTTTGTCAGCAGTTTGGCAGGAAAAAGTATGCTACGGGAAATACAGGAAAGGGTATTTATTTAGTTGCATCATTAGGGTAAAAGCTTTCATACATAAAGTTTCAATAAGGATCAGCCTAAAAGAACAGCTAAACGTTGTACATGTAGTCCAGAGTAAGCAATAAGATCCAGGGCTGGGGAATTGACAACAGAGTACTACCAAGTAGGTTTTTTTTCACTACATTCCATGTACATGTACCATACAACGTATGTGATCCACAACAAAAATAGTTGAGGTTCTATCTTCCTGTAGATAATTTCTTACCGCACACATAATGTACACGTTCTTCAGGTACAGTAAGTCAAGTGGTGTGCCAGACATGACACAATCCCTAGGCTTCTAACAGCATCTTGTACAACGTTTAACCTGCCTTTTGTAATCTAATCAGGTTCTTGACACTTTCTCGTATAAAAATATTTCCAAATAACATTACAACAAAGTGCCCTATAGACCTACTGTATGCCATTCCAGTCAAACCGTATTTCAGATTTTTCGGTCAAATGGTGATCCGTGTTAACTTAAGGCATTTTAATCAAGTGTATTTCTGACTTTTTATTCAGTTAATCAAGTACAAATGCCTGCTAAGCTTTTTTATATTTTTCCTGGCATGCCATTTGAAGCAAAATACACGTAAATGTTCACAAAAGAGATGGACTTGAAGATAACAGAGCTTCTACTCATAGCAGCTGTTCCCATCCAAACATCTTCATAAAACACCGAGGCATAAAACTGACCAAGAAAATTTCATGACTGCTACTAGAGCAGCAACTTTACAATTGTAAGCTGATAAAATCCTGAATAGCTATTTGATGGAACTTTACATGGGACAAATGTATTAAAGCAACAGATTATGAGTTTAAAGCCCACTAAAGAAACCTTGTGCTTATTCTTCCCTGCGAAACCACTGAGCATTATAAATAACTTGCATTTGGTAAACACAAGTAAATATCTAAGTACATGTAGATATGTCAATGATGCAAAATCCCATCACCAGTCTCTGACTGCTGTAACTTCAGCTGATTCATCCAACTGAGCCCAACAAGCTCAACTGATAGGTGGAATATTTCCACTAGCAGACAGGGGCACCCATAAGCTTATGAATTTTGTTCCCACAAGCTCCTATATACCGGTAGCACAAAACACTCATATACAGTGTTTAGCCCTAACCCTGGAAGTTCAGTGTAAATAATATTTAGTCTTATTATTTTTGGCATGCTTAACAGAGGGAAAAATCAAATATTCGATTTAACTACATCCTGTAGATTTTTCTTATTAAAAAAAATTATTTCCAAGGATGGATTTGCACTTGGGAGATGTTAATTTTTTGTTTTGTTTTTGTTTTGGCCCTGCCCGGCATGTATCATAACACTGCATACTCAGTGTTTGCCCCAAAGGCTTGTGGAAACAACCACAAGTGAACATATACTTGGGTGGGACTCGAACCCACGACTTCCTGCTTACTAGTGTAGATGTCCTCCTTACTAGTGCAGACATTACTGAGTGTTATCAGTGTATCATACATGTTGGGCAGGGCAAAAAAAAAAAACGTTAAAACAAGTGTTTATTGTAGCAGCCAGCAAAGCAGCAGAGGGATGACAGGCCACTGACTAACATGGGTTAAAATGTTTACAATAGTATATTGCAAAGCAAAGGTTAGAGAGGATCCAATGGGAATATTTAAAGCTTAACCAATCCACAAAGACACATGCAAACAAAAACTCAACTTTATGTTCCTTAATGTGTGAATATTGATATCCCCTAGGTTTGGTATCAGCAATTCAACCAGTCTGCAAGATTACATGTATCTTGACTTCATATGAGGGTTCCTGTTGTGTATGTAGACACAACACAAAATATGCTGTGTTTCTGACATCTTAAACCTACACTGCATCCTGGGAACCATTTCACAACACTTGTACTAAACATGGTATCTTGAAGCTTACATGTAATGTTTAGTTAATAATAAATTCACAAATTTCCCTATGAATACGTTATTTTTCGGGCAAAATGAAAATGATGTACAGGTAAAGCCAGAAATTAGGGGTTCAAAAGTGTGACTTTTTGTGTCCCTGTTACATCTGATAATTGTAATTTGACATGAAAATATCACCACATTTGATTTCAAACTATTACTTTTTGTTTGGCAAGTAATTTGCATTAATTTCATCACTCTTGATAATTAGAAAATGTGTTCTGAACATACAAAATCATACGTCAGATGTAACAGGGACAAACAAAAACTGGACCTCTAATTTCTGGAATTCCCCGTACACATGTGTCAACAAACTGACTGGAAATAAACTCATACATGTAATTAGCATCGGATGCAGATACCACATCTACAATCCACCCAAACAAAATGGGTCACAAGTCACCTAAGCCAGTTTTGAGCTTTGCCTTTAAAAGGATCTTGCTTGATATCCCGTTAATAGGAACCCCTAACACATTCACCCATGTAACACCATTTTCATCAGGATGCCAAATAAGATGATGTGCCAAAGCAAAGAGCTCAGTTGGGTCTATAAGAAAAGGCCTTTAAGACTCATTTTGTGGGATCAAGTCACTTTTTTATAGCAGAAGCCATACAGCTCGCTTCAAAAAGGTACTTCATGAGTGATGGTGACCTCAAGATATGCAAAACGTCAACTATGCTTTACTTCTTATTTCAGTTCTGAGCACAGTGAAATGGTTCATACGAGGCACAACAGTGACAGGTTACACATCATCGGTTGAGTTATGGTCAAATGTCATAAAACTCAAACCCAGCACACTCTTTATCCATGCTGTTAATGCTACAGTATGTTGACTTTTCAAGTTTTACAAGGCAGCACATTTGTTATTAAAGACAGGTGAAATTGAAATCAAAAATTTTTAACAGAATTTTTTGGAACAGGAACCCTCCAGATTGTACAGACTGTGCGGTATAGAAATTGGTACCTGGTGTACTGCGTCCTTCCTCTGCAACTTCTTCCTCTTGAAGGTGATATCATCAAGAATAATGCAAGGTAAAATTCTGTGATTTTTCATGTATCATACAGAACACAAATATGCAAACATGTACACGTAAATTATATTACTTGTATTCTCAAGCTGTTCACTCACCAAAAAAGTAAACTCCAATACCAAGTAAGAACAGTTGAATCAAGGGAAAGGATTTTTAAAAATGCAGCACTGGATGTTTGACTTATAACCAAGGGGTAGGGGTTACATTTTAAACTTTTGATCTAAAGTTTCATATACAGTTTTCCATCGTATTTTGCTCTGCCCAGTTGGACCATCAACATGAACAATTACAAAAATCACATTTTCAAGATGTCTCACTCTTAAGCAGAATCTGAACATTACAGTGTTTAGATACCAACAAACATTCCAATGCGAACTTTGTCCGTTCTAATTGCAAATACACATACCCACTGCTTTAGAAAAATGCATGTTCCTGAATGGGAACATTGATGTATACGTGTGCACATTACTTAGGTAACAGCATGTTACTTATAGAAATACAGCTAGTTTTTACATGGAACATGCAGTGTTCCGTACAAAAAATATACTCCAGTTAGAACAAAAGTGTTCCACTCCTGATTTTTGAGATGTTCCCTTTCTTAAACAAGTCTATTCTTTGCACAAAAGTAAAAATGTTGACAGCCAATTATTCATTATTTTACAACCTTGCATGAGGAGTTAGCTAATGACTCTCTCTGAATGGACAGCTAGCCAAGAACTGCAACTGGGCCAGCAATAACGTACAAGCCAGGCATGAACTGCATGTTCAAAGGTTTCTGGTATAGTAACATGGCTAAAATTAAGAGCCAGTGACTATAGCAACAGTGCATAGGAAACAAATGGGTGAGTGGTAGCCATCAGACTGACTCAAAGACCAGAATCGTTGCAATTACGGGCTAATTATTGTGACCTGTAAAATCAAAATGGTTCTGGCCACATTGATAAAAGACAAAGAGCAGTGGGGTGTCACTCATAAAGAAGGTGCTGCAAGCAACTCCCTTTGACTGTTTTGGTAGTTGTTTTTTCATATTGGCTGAACAAAAATGTTGAGTGAAACAGAGGTACATGTACATTTAAAAATAATGGGGATGTTGCGCAGCAACGGAATGGATACAAGCCAAGCCAAGTCAACACACAAGACCCAAGATCCACCCTGGCCAAAGGGTCACCTATACCCAAAGACAACTTGTTAGGGCAAATCTGCTCCAAGCAGAACAAAAGAGGGCTTTTTTTTGGTAATCACCACATAGGCGCACCATGAAGAGCGCATACGTGTTTGACGCAAAGCACGCTGAGTATGAGTAACTAATTTAATCCGGTATGTGTGGTCTTTGAGTACATGTACATGTAGAACGCATGCAAGAACCTGCTTGTAACCACATGTCTCTCTTTTCGCCGATTGCGGGTGCACTTCAGCCCAGGGGGGATAATTCCATCACCCTCCCCTACCTAGGCAGTACATCCCAGCACATCCTCCACAAGCACGGTATTCGAGAGTACCATATAGCACCCATAATAATATAGAACCTGCTGACCTCCCACAAGGCTCAGCCAAATCTATAGCACAGGCCAGGAATGTACAAGTTTCCCTGCCAATCAGAGTCGTAGTCGAGACCACTTAAGACCTTTACAAGACCTCTAGTCTGAATTCAAGCCACAAACTACCAGTATTCAAATGAACTGCAACAAAAGCATTCCTTTGTCATTGTTCACCCTGTTACTTGTGACTGTCTGGTCTTGTGATGGTCTCGACAGCAACACTGCTGCCAATGCAGCATCGGCGAGACTGGCACGGATCTTCCTACCAGACTCAAGGAACACAGAGCCTATGGCAGGAAAGGAGAAGTCGACAAGTCTGCCATAATCAGACACTCCCACACCCAACACCATCAGAAGCCAAGCCAAATTCATCACCAGCATTGCACATTGGTACTCTTCCCTCATCAGATAAGCCATCAAAATCCTCAAATGCAATTCACTTCTCACAACAGTATACAACGTATCATGTTTTATTTCTGTTGGACACTCGATGTTAGTTTCCTGAGGTATTGGAAATTAACATTGACCGTCCAACCGAAATAAACCATGTTATATTTGTTTCACTATACCTCATACATTTTTATTTAATAACCTCTGAAAAAACGTCATCATGAAAGAAAAGTCCAATCCTTTTACAATACAGTAATTTTTGAGCACTTCCACCACATTTTGGACAACCTTCTTAGAGGAGGAGGCATCCTTATTGTCCACAATACACCGTATTTTCTAGTTTGGCATTGCTACGTTGAAAAAATGGTGAGTGTCTTTAATGTGTGCCACCTGTGGCTAGGCTGGCACCACCATGAGTTCACAGTACACCAGGGTGACAGTTCCTTGATTTTCTGCTCCTGCGCATACATTTTTCTGGGGCAACGGTTAAAAATGTATGTGTGTTTACTTCTTGCATGAACGATCGTGAGTGCACTTGGCAAACAGCAAAAATAGCAGCCGGCGAGTGAATGCACTAGTGAGAGTTCCACAATCCATCATGAATATATATGAGATACAGTAATGTTGCTTGACTACCTTGGTAAAGGAGGACACTTATATTCGAGGGATGTTTGCTGAAAATATGTTTCAATAGTGAACAGAAAAACATGTTTATGGTGCCGTCAGGAACCTAACTAATTCCCCTTTCCAAAACAAACATTTTTAGCTGACCAACCCTAACTTGCTCTATCCATGTGACCTTGGTTTGGCCTTCACTCAAAGAGGTTACAAACACTTTTGCTGAACAATAACATTAATTCTTAAGTCTTAAACTAAATAAAATCAAGCTACATCTACAAATCTCTCACAATGTATTAAACTGTACTGTTCAAAGAATACTAACATCTTAAAAAAAAATTAAGGGCAATTTTTTAGAATTTGTTTTACCAAAAAAGGTTCACTGTTGACATATTAGACGAAATCCCATTCATTGTCATTCTGATGTGTAACTTGTTGAATCCATGGCATCTGGCCTTTCTGTTCTCAAAGTAACTGAATTCTCAACTGAAAGCGACTTTAAGTACAACGTACATCATTTCTGTCCATCAAACCTTCACAACATTATCAACGTTTTGTACTGCACAAGTAATATCTCGTTATTTCTAGCTCATGAAAGACTTGAAATAAATTCTGGTCATCTTACAGGTAAATTTTGCAGATAATGTGACATGAAATATTTTGGTCAACCACAAAAGACAGTGCAAATATAATCATGCAGGAGCACATTTTGGTCAAACAATAATGCATGCTAGTGCTATCGAGGCCGTTCTTACCAAACTGCAAATAACTTGTGAGAAATGCAAAACACTCATTATTCTTTTCATTGATGAAGAAATTTCTGAACTTGTAAGTAATGCTGGTGTTTCTCTCATATGAACTTAAAAACTTGAATATGGTGTTACCCACTTGTCGCCGGATAATGTGTAAACACAAAGTTTTCCTTATTTGTTCTGTGGAGGACATGTACATGTACACTCGTTCAGTAATTATTTTTTCATATCTGTGGTTGATGTATGAATGTGCTTGGTCTGGTCAAAATGCGGAAGATGATCTTACATCTGGATGCTACTCCTAAGTGGGCAGTGGTTGCTGCATATTGCCACTGTGCTGGCCAGGTGTATGTGCCAGTTGATGTGATTAATTACACACTTGCTGCCGGAAGATGGTTAACCGTTACGGGCACATAGGCTTTATACATGAAGCCAGGGAGCCCCAAACCAGACAAAAGAGCAGGGACTTATCACAAAAGACCGTACTCGGAACAAAAGACCAAGCTGCTGGGAATTGCTAACGTTATTTCAGTTGTCAATAGCGGAGGAAATCCGTCATTGTTTTGAAAGATTATACCACTGTTTGTGGCATTCAGCACTAACAGATTACCATAGGGGACAAAGCACTCCAGTGATGAGCGATAGAATACCACTGCACGCTAATCTGGCCCCTATTGAAAAGATGCCCACCACTCACTGTGCCAATTTCGGGAACAAAAGAAACTTGTGTAACACTGCACAATCTGGGCTCTTTTTACCAAGCAGCAGGCCTGGCTGAAATACTCAGGCATCAACAGATGCTGTTAGAGTAGCCATCAGACAGTCATTTTTGTGTGTGTAAACATCCAGTAAATGTATTTATGATTTTTTTAAAGAATTTTGAAAACAGAAAATCTTGAAATCCCTTGGGTTTACATCACGCAACTTCGATTTCAACCCAGCAGCAATTGGTTAATAAACAAAAGCAAAAGTGTTAGCCATATTTTGCTGCCCATTTTCAGAATCTGAAGAAGCTTCTTCACCTGACACAAGCTCAACTGAAAGTGACATGGGTTCCTCTTGCCGAGAGGAAACAGCACAAAACTTCTGGACCGGCTTCTGATAATGTGACACTGAAACATCGCAATTTTCCAGCAACATTGAAGTTCACGCAGCCAACTTGAAAAGTGACAGCTCGCTGCCAGACATTTTCCTGAAGTTTTACCAGATGGACACATCCATGACATCAACAATGACATGAACCAGCATGCTGACAGTAACAGTAAATAAAGGGAGCCATCAAAGAGAATGGTTTTTGACAAGGTAAATGCTGTCATAGCCCTCATCATCTTGATGGGTATCACACCTAAACCAGACATCAGATCCTATTGGAGACAGGATCCAATTCCTGAGGTATCACTCTTTGCTAGTGCAAGCCCAAAGGACAGACTTCTCCAGTTACTGGTGTATCTTCACTTCAACAGCGACACCAGTGATGATGGCATTGACCGACTGTACAGACTTTCACCAGTCACTGAAACATTGACAAAGATCTTAAGGACAGTAAAGCTGCCTGCACAAGACATCACGACCGATGATTCGTTGTGGAATTTCCATGGTTGCCTCAAATTCAAACAATTTAACCCAACCAAACGAGCCCAATTTGGCATCAAGTTTACAAGACCTGTCAGAGAGGTGGTAATGTGGCTGGCTACACATGGAACCTGAGAATCTAAACTGGAGAGGACTAGGGTACAACATCTGGTTTAGCACCCAAATACTTTTTTTCAGCTTCGGGACCGACAGGCAAATGCCTGCAGTACTGAGTCAAAAACAGATGCCACCTGACTTGAAAAATGTCAAACTGAGGCATGGAGAACAAGCATTTCGCTCCAGTTTCAGTGGTCTTCTAGCTCTCATGTGGAGGGACAACATGGAGGTATAAAGATGCTGACTATGAAGCACTAGGTGACTATGGAGGAGTCCAGCAGAAAAGGCAAAGAAGGCAAGGCCATCCTGAAGCCTGCTTGTGTACTTGACTAAAAACCAAGTGAGGGGCAGAATTGATTTGTCTGGTCAACTTCATCCAGCCACCGCTGTGTGCGTAAGACCATCAAACGGTATAAGAAGTTATTCTTCTACATGTATTTGGTAGGCCTTTGCCTGGTGAACTCCTTCATTGTCTACCAACTACTTGGATACATCAAGGTTCCCGTGTGTACAGCCTTGTTTCAAGACATATCACACCAAACACAATTTTTGAAAGCGTAAATTTAGTTATATTTGTATAAATCCCAAAATGCAATACAAGTTTGAACTTTTGGTTACTGAAGAATTTGAAATCAAGACATTCAGTCACTTATAAATGTATAACACATTATTCCCCGTTATAATTGTTTAAGTCCTAACCGTAAAAAAGTGCTTGAACTTTTGCCAACTAGAATTTCAGAGCAAAAACTCCTCATTCATAATCACGTAAAGCATTATTTGATGTCATAATTATGTAAGTCCCGATTGTCAAAATAAGCGGGATGTTCTGCTATCTGCAAAATTTCAGAGCCAAAAATCTATCACTCATAAATGTGCATGTACATGTACAGTGTATCGTATTATTTGAGGTTATAATTGTACAAGTCTCAATCTTCAAAATAAGCAGGATGTTTTGCTAACTGCAGAATTTCAGAGCAAAAATTACAATACTTTTGATGCCATCTTCTTTGCACGGTAAATTGAGAAAAATACATCAGTTCCGTTGTTACCAATTTTGTATTTGAGTCCATCACAAGTCCATCACAAGTCACTAAGTCTTAAATCAATTCCCAAGCTATTCAAATGAACTGTGACAAAAGTAGTCTGTTATCGTTGTTCACCCTCATGCCTTAGATTGGCCTCAGAAAGGACTTGTGACTGGACTTGTGATGGAATCAAATACAACACTGGTTGTTACAGATAAAAAGGAAAAGGTAGTATTCATTTCATAAGCTGGAAGAAAAGAACCATTTTTATTTTGCCTTGTAATTGCCTTATTTTTATCATGAAGAAAAAAAGAAAAGGGAAAACTTTTATTTCATGAGCTAGAAAAAAAGAGAACTATTTTTACTTTCCTTTGTCTTATTTTTGCCTCATTTTCATCATGTACAAAAAACCCCAAAATGAACACTTTCATTTCAATAAAGAAGAAACAGGAACTTTTTACTTTGCCTTTAAACTGCCTACTTTCATCATAAGAACGAGAGCAAGAAATACTGCCATTAATTAAATGAAAATTCCCCCCTCCCTCTATCCAAAATAATCCAGTAATGCTTTTCTTCCGTAATTAGGACTGAACTGGTCTGGGAGCCAACACCACATTTAGAAGAACTAAGTGATAACAGACCTTCCTTGTTTGGGTAAACTGATTTGCTGGGGAGTGGAACCACACAACAGAGATAAGGTTACACAACCCAACTGGCAACTCCTTTGTATCGAAACAATTGGCAAAAAACATACATGACCAAGGGTGACACCTATGCTTTAACCCTCAAGGAACCAGGTTATTTTGACCCATCTCACAGCCAGGGGCCCCCAAGAATTCGGCTATACCATGTCCAATTTTTTTTAGAACTTGGCATACATATACACAAATTACAAATGTGAAGTTTAAACTCAATCAGAAATACGTGTTCATGTACGGTTTTGTTGTAATGGTCATTTGAAGTTCATGGCTACGTAAGTGCCAGTACGCATGCATTGAGCACCGTAGGGGAAAACATTTTTGTCTGACCCCTCTTGGAAAAATGAGCGCTGCGCCAGAACCGTATGTTCGACTTTTGCAAAAATGGTGTCAAAATGGCTGCAAAGAGTGGCTCTTCAAGGATTCAAAAAAAATGCACTGCAGGGATATTGCAAAAAAGTTGGCGATTGCCCCCCTCCGGGCTCTTTAAGGGTTAAACCTTTTGTACGTGAACCAGTTGGTGTCTGGACACATACTTCAATTTTTACCAGGGCCAGTTGAAAAATGGCCGAACAGAAGAATGCAGGGAGAAAGGAGTGAAAATACTGATGCCTCAAACTCAGGAGTTGTGTGTCCCTACACATTTTATGGGCGCCAAAAATAAATTGCAAGGTTGTAGAATATAACAAGGAAACCCCAAACCAGCAATTTTTATTCAGGGAAGAAAACCCAACGACAAAATAGTAATTTGTATCTACATGACTCTCCATGCAAGGTTGTTGTCACATATTATTGTAGTTGTATAAGACACCAACGAACAGCTGCTGAACATTAACTGATTCAGAAGAGTGACATGTACGAAAAGAGGAAAATTCAAGCATTGTGTGAAACAAATACCGCGCATTTCACATTCATGCAATAAAAAAAGCTTCCTCGGCTTTCCTTCCTGGAATAGAACATTCAATCTGTAACCTCCCAAAATTTTTCTCACCAATGAACTATTTATGATTTTTATAATGCACAATTAATTTCAGCAATTTCAAAGATGCTGGACCAGCATGAAAACAGTGTGTGCATGAGCCACTTACCCTCCTCTCCAGGTGATGAGACTGATGAGATATCAACAAAAGCTGTTCCAATGTAGTCATCATTGGACACACGATCCCTATACATGTACATCAACAAGTTAACATATTAAACAAATGCCACAAAACTGAGAGAGTATCGTGTATCTTATATGCTGATTTGGTTGTTTGGCTTTTTCGGGATAAAAGCTACTAAGCTACTGTTTAGCAGTGATATTTATTTGAAACACTGCCTACTTGTTACACTTGGAGAACTTAAAATTGACGTAATTTATGTCAGAGTACAGCCTTGACGGGGATCTTCAATGAGGTCCATGAAAACTACATAAATTTACCAATACAAAATTTCAAACTAAACTTCACCACAAACACACAAAAAAATCAGAAACAATCAGGAAATCCTGTCTGGTGCACTCACTTTATGGTATTTATGATTATTTCTCCTTTCTAAAAGAATGCTACAGGACAACTTCGGGTCACTGCATTCTGTAATGTATAATTCAAGTCTTCAACATACAGTAACAACAGCACACGTCCCAGAACTATTCATTTGTCTTTGCATGACTGAGTTTTCACATGAAGCTGCAACTTTTAAGGTCCTAAGCGACCAGTGACAATCCGCATTGACATGTACCACCACACACAGTAACCTTCAAGACTGCTCCTGAAGATTGACAGGATAGGGCAGTGTACTAGATTTCTTCAGAAATTTAAACAAAAAAGATGGTACTTCCTGATTATTAAATTCAATTGAATTTGTTAATCTACAGGCTCTGTTGCTAAAGAATTTCAGTGAAATGCATCATTCTGCAAAAAATATATTTAATACTGCTTCTTTGCATTTACACATGTGTAAGGCAGGCTCTTAAAAATGAGCCTTTTTTAATAATGAATTTAGGGGATTCTTATATCCTGAAGTGAACAACATTACATTAATCCACAATTAATTCATAATGAAATGAAGGGAGTCATGACTGATATTCGGAACACTGATGGCTGTGATCATCTTTCATCTTGATTAAAGTTGAATAATCAATGTCTTGAATGTCAACACTTATGTCAGACATGACTAGCCTGTAAATCCTAACCATTTATTTCAAAGAAAGGGTCATGTTTGCTAAATGCATACATGTAAACAGGATCAATGTACATGTAGATGTATGTGGAGAAAGATTATGGTCAACTGCTATGCAGCAGCCAAATGATGATGATGATGATTATGATGCACCCTTTTTTCAATGTTAGTTTTATTCATGCTCATAATGGTAAGATTTTTGTGTTTTATATTTTTCTGGAAAAAGTAATGGTGAATTGAAATGCTCAAGTTGTCTAATAAATTTTTACGTCAATCGCAAATGAATTGTAAATTTAGAAATGTTGTATTTTTAATAGGTTTTAGAGATGTAACCACTAGGCAATCTGACCTCTGGGTTACAACCAAGAGGAAATAAACCAATAATAACATTTGCATTGGTAGCCAACCAAATGTCAATAAAATGTACATGTATGGAGTATGCTTAATTATCCCTAAATGATAATATTTATAAATTTGAAGATGCAAATTTGTGTTTAAATGACCAAACTCACCATTTTTTAATTTTGAAAATGGTTCATCTTTCGAAGAATATTCCATAATCTATTAAATAACTATTCCCTTCTGTGTTAGGGGCCAGGGGTTTTGTATGCCATCTGGAGTAAATTGGCTTTGCCTTAACACAGTGGACTCCTTCTCAGCTGACAATAATTGCATAATGTTCTTGCTTACATGGAGCTATGTGTACATGAACATGTACTTACCAATCTCTCATTTGCAACTTCAGTTTCTCGCACATTGATGGAAACTGTAATTAAAAAAAAGCAAAGCTTTTTTAATAAGTGCATCGGTGTTGTACTTGAGTCCATCATAAGTCCTTTCACAAGTCTAGTCACAAGTCTAGTCACAAGTCTAGTCACAAGTCTAGTCACTAGTCCTTTCACAAGTAACAGAGTGAACAACAACAAAAGAATGCTTTTGTCACAGCTCATTTGAATAGCTATACATGATTTGTGATAGAGGTGTGATGGACTTACAGGGGCTTTAGTACAGGGACACTGTATACGTACACTTGATCTTAAGAACTTGACATTCAGTTTAAAGATCATGCTACAAAGAGTTGGTCATGTGTCCAAGTAATTCAAACAAAATTAGACAATATGTCTAAAAAATTGATTTAAGCAAATTACAAAAAATTTGTACAGGTTAAACCCTAAAAGTTCACAATCTTCTGATTTAAAATCAATGAATGTACATTTACATGGATTTATTAGAAAGCATGAAAAATGTGTTCACTCAAATAATCAAGAGGAAAGCTGGTCCAAAAACTCGACCCGATCCAGCATTCAATAAAAGAAGTTTTCATACTAAAAAAACATACTTTATCATGGTGTAATGCATTGCAATTTCCAAAAATTTCAAGCCACCTAGGCAAACATGCAACAAAAGTTCACAAATTACATGTTCAATTTCATGCTACAGTTTTTACCCGGATTGGTACTCTGAGCTCCTGGTTCCAATCTGGATGATCATTGGTGTACTTCACATCAGTCTTGACCTGGGATGGTGCATATCATAAAGAATATATACAACATCATCACATACAGTGATTAGCATGGCATTCTCAAACTAGTCTTTAAAATACATTAAGTTAACTGAAATAATCCATGAAAACCAGAATACACATTAAATTACTTGTCAATTTTCTACTTACTTTTGAAATTGCAAATGTATGAGGAAATAAAATTTGAAAGAAAAATTAGAAAATTACAAGGCACGTCTGCATAAAGCCAAATGATTGTCTATCATTTCTATGGAGTCTTATTAGCATTTTGGCGATTTTCCTAATTACAATTTTGTTTTATCATTGTTTGAAATATAAGACCAATTAAAATGTTACATACATGTACATGTTTATATGTACATGTAACCTGTGAAACAATTTGAATCCCCCAGATTAAAAACACTGTTGCTATACCTCGTGATTCGGGGCAGGCTGTTGCATAGTGACCACCATCTGGAATGGGCTGGTTCCTTTGTGCCCTTCATATCCACTGAGAATAGTGTATTGAACAGTGTGTCTCTTAGGTAAGTACATGTAAGCAAAAGCTTGCCTGAATCATGAGGTATGGTAAGTTTTTTTTAGAATAGAGAATTCAAACTGTTACATTCACATGAATTTAAAGAACTCAGTGTACCAGGTTTTATTCAACTTTAACTCACAAAAGGATAATTTCAGAAATGGTATTTTTGTTTTCCAAATTTAGTTAGCCTTTGTATTATTGGTTGAGGAACAGGGAAAGGCAACTCCTATACATTAACCCTAGTGATCCCTTACCAAGTCAAAAGTGATGTGTCATTTCTAAAACACCGATGCCACATGTACATGGACACCATATCAAATTTCTCTTCAAATCCTTGTGTTACATGTATATGTCATAATTTCTATGATGTTTGTATTGTTTGCTTTATTGCCAAAGACAATGATTAAATGATATTCGTCAAATGTTTCATGAATTCAAATAAATACAATTACAAAGAACCATTCAGTGGCACATACTGTACATGCTCTGGCTTATAAAAAAGAGTTTGAAAAAGTTTGAATTTGAAATACAAAATATGCTAAGTTTATTTTTAGGAACGGTTTAGTCCTTTAAGTTAAGCTTAAATGGAATTTCACCAAGGTCACCTTCATGGGTTAATAAGGCCTTGGCCTTGCTTTACGAGAAGTCCACTTAAAACAAGTTACCCAAAAAATGGAAATGAGTTACATATCATCAAATAACATATAGTAACCCCCCACCACAGACATGATGGGTCCACTAGAGATTACCCAAGTAACATTTCTACCACATGCATATTTCCCTATCACTGTCAGACCATTTGCTAAAGTTTGATCAACTGTATTGTACCTTCTATCTACCACAATGTAAAGAGGAATCATGCCTATGATCTCCCTTCTTTTTCATTAGCACTCCTGCATCACAATGATAGGGGGAGATGGGTGGGAGTGCTACTCTGATACCTGTAACTATTCTCTAGTTGACCGCTTTTTGGGGGTCTACAGCATTCTTCTTATCCAAATAGCATCCAACTACATGTACATGTATCTTCTGAAAGTTTAAGATGCAGTACTAAAGTTCCCGCTTTAAAAATATTGTTGTTCTGGCCCACAATAAGGTCAGAGGTATTTTATTATGGAAGTATGGAGGTATGGTACTCCTGGCCCCATTGGGATGTACTGGAGCCTCATGATTAGACAGCTCTTTCATGGAAACTAAGTCAATTGTTAAGGGAGAAGGTGGATGTTCCCCTATTTCACTTGGTTGGGTATATATTGACATATCGTGAAATTCTAAAATCTAATTTGATCTTGTAAAGTAGGGAACTCCCATTTGAGCATGCTGCTTTTTTTTGTTTCAACATACATGATTATTTTGTTGAGTCCAGTATGGTTTAAACACAACCGCTTTTGGTTGGTGAAACACTCTGACCGTAACTTTCTAAGGAATTTTGACTTTGGGGAAACAGTTTAGAAAAAAGGGTTGAAATTAAAGTTGCTTGTGGATGGTGGTTGGAGAAGGAAATTTACTGCTTGTACATGTATGTATAAACCTTGGGACTTGAGTAAGTTAATTTTGGTAGTTCGTATTCCCAACAATATTACTGGTGGTTATGAAACATTTAACTCCTTATTAAATGGATTAGTGCATGTTGATAAAAAAATAAGGAATGTAAACCATAAATTCAAAACGTATGCTGTAGCAGGGCCGCATATTTTATGCCTTAAATGTAAATGAATCCAGTATATGCATATAAATGTACATTTACTTCTACTCTATATGATGCTGGGTCACTTTTAATTTACAGATGGTTCCATCATAATGTTGACTGTCGTTTATTTGTGTGGGTGTTTTGGGGGTTTCTTAAGGTTTTTTTTGCTTAACCCTCCTATGCAAATGTCATCTGGTACAATATTTTGAGCAGTCCTTTTCGCCTGTCAAGTGTCTGGTCTAACCTTCAGTGTTTAACTACCAATTTGTATGATTTTTATGGTGCCTTCCCACTGGCCTGCTTTCTGTTGATAAATCTTTCCCAGTCAGGTGGTTAGGGTTGGGTAGTTTGTGCATGGTGGCCAGCTAACAAAATATATGCCAGGTTGGGCCAAATTGGATTTGACCGTCCTTTGACTGCACCAACATTAAAGGGGTTAAGGTAACTTGGATTAATCTGAATTAATAATTGAATGTACATGTGATTGTTCTAATTTTTTATTCTAATTAAACCAGCAGTCTGTTTTCGTAAATTGGTGGTTTTTGAAATTTCTTTACTCTGCATCCCTGTTTCCTTAATATTTTGGGTTATCCACCACCCCTCTCTGTGGTAAAAGTTAATCACTCGGTAACATTACCTTCTTTCCAGCGAAGGACGCAATCAAGTATGGGTCCACAAGCTCCTTTTTGCCACTTCCAGATCCTAGTATGTTCTTGATACCCTCAAACAATCCAGCATCCACTTATTAATAAACACACATAAAAGATCACGATTACATTTTACAATCAGCATTTTGGTTAAACACACTACACAAGCATCCACACCACTTGCACAGTTTGAAGCAATATTGCATATCGATTTTACATTCAAATTCAGTCATAGTGGTACACGTAAGCCTTGCACAAACTTGCTGTAATAAAAATGAGAGTAAGATAGGCACTGCGACAATGACAAAAAGTAACCATAAACCATCTTCAATTCATCACGTACTTGCAACTCAAGTGAATTGATCAAATTAAAATAATCAACATGGATTTATTATACCATGGTAACAGACTGTGAATTCTAATTGGTCATGAATTAATCACATGGTTTACCACAACCATGCATGCATACTGGTAAGAAATGCATCAGAAATGTACGTCATGGTACATGAATAATGTACATGTATCTCTCCTTAATCTGTCCCACTGCTGAAAATGTCCTCTCCGCTGCAATGTATTATATTAGTGTGACCTTAAATATGAAGATATACACTTGTATGCTCGTACTATGCAACCTTATGTATACATGCAAGGTGAAGCACTGTTTCTGCAACAACTGCCGCTGTTTATCAGTTATTTATCATTCGTCTCTGTTCCTTTTCCCCCCTTTCTTAACTGTGTCAATTTTACCATTACCAGACCTGTTGCCTGACCAGAGACGGGGGGAGGGTTGTCAAACCTTGGCACTGTGAACAAATATTTTTATACAAAGGTCGATCATAATGTGCTTTGGAACACAAAACAAACTAGTTTTATGTTTGTCGTGAACCAAAGGATGCATGTAAGACTTGCATGGGCCCCTACTTCAGTTTTTAAGTTCACAGCGTATCATAAATTGGCCCATTATATGAATTTGCTCTTCACCCAGCATGTTGAATCGGGCGCTGGCTGACGAGCGAATGATATGAACATTATTACCTTAAAAATTTCTAAAAAATCCCACACAAAAATTCAAAAAAGTGACAAATTGTAGTAAATCATTATTTCCTCCACTCGCCTAACTAAAAATTGTTTTAAAAAATTGGGGGCGCATTTCATTTGACACCTCGGGTAAAAATCAGAAAATCGGACCCCCAAAAAATGTCATCGGAACATTGTAGCGGGTGTGTGAAATTTATTTATGTGACATTTATGTATCGGAATATTTGGAGTTTGATTAAATTTCATCTTTTGTGAAAATGGAAGTAAAATATTGATTGCTCCATACACAAATGTTAAAAGCGGTTAGGGCACGACACGGTGTTTAGTGACTGATTTCATTCTTCAAATGTTTCTGTATAAGCCGCCCAGAGTTCAGTATAAACTGCAGAGCTATTTTCCCTATAACCCTACATTAAAACTATATTTATTGAGAAAAAAAAAAAACACCACCAACGAGAAGAACTCGGAAGCGAGCGGGGGGTTTGTTTGAATCTCCCAATCCCCCTCCCAGCCTACACTTGACATGACACCTTTCTTGACCTACGGACTTGACTCAGATCACTTCCTTCCAATGGCTGGATGCCACTACAATCACAAATTCAGTGACTTCAACACCTTTCTGAGTAAATCCATTTCCAAGAGTAATTACCAAACGTTACTGTAAAAAAGTCTTACTTTGTGGGATGTCTTCAGCATTGTACACTTTGACAATGAACATGCCTTTCCTCAACTGCATGCCAGCTGGGCGAAGTAAATTGCTACAAAATAGCACAAACGATCAAATATGGTTATTATCTGTCGACTCATTTAATTTAGTGCACTCTCATAACACGCCAGGGATAAAAATGCAATTTAAATCCCGTTTAAGCAAGAAATATGTTCCAAATTGCACAAGACATCGTATTATTATTATCCTGAGAAGAAATTGGTCCACAAGCCAAGTCATGTACAAAAATGAATTTTCCACCATGCATCCAGCTTTCATTTATTTCATTACTAAGCCTCTCAAGAGAGAAACAAAAATGATACTAACGTTTCTATGTCATCAGAGTCGTCACACTTTTTGAAAACCTGCAAAAGACAAAAGATTAAAGTCTTTAAGAATCTTTCTATCACAAATTTTAATGGTTTTTAATTTTGTAGTTGGTATTTGATAGCTGGGTTATGCCATGTCAGACCAACACACTTTTTGACCTTAGGTCTTCAAATTTTGATAAAAATTGCTGTGCTGTAGGCATTGATGAGTGAAAAAAGACATACCAGGTTTTGGCATGATCTGCCGCTCCATGTGGTGAGGGCAGAGATCACCAGAAATAGACAGGTTTAGCTTCAAACATTTACACCCTTTTTGTAAAATTCATATCTCCACAAACTTTCACCAAACAAAATGTGGTATGCAAATGAGGTATCAAAATAATGTGAATTACATGCCCTAATCAACCATGCTGTAAATACTAAGTTTTGTAAAAAGTGGGTCACTATGAACTTTGACACACCACCTTCACCTTTGACCCATTTTAAAAGTAAAGTATCATTTTAAAAAATCAATGAAACATTTTGAAAGTGTGTTTCCTTCACTTTTAGATGCCGTTTAAGTCTTTCTGGGATCTTTACAACTGAAAAAATTCCGGCTTTTTTAACTGTTGGTAGGCTACAAATAATTATGTCAATTTATAGCCTTAACATTATCGGTTACAATTACTACATGCACATATTTCAAAAAATTTGCTACAATTATTCCTACATGTAGCTTTTACAGAGTGAAAAGCCACATAAATCTCCTGACATTTTTCCATTAAAAGTTCTTGGAGGATCTCAAATTAATGACTATTCATCAGTGTTGTAGTCGAGACCATCACAAGACCACCCACAAGACCAGAAACAAACCAGTCACAAGTAACAGTGTGAACAATGACAAATGAATGCTTTTGTTGCAGTTCATTTGAATAGCGAGTTACTTGAATTCAGACTGGAGGTCTTGTGTTGGTCTGGTGTGGTCTTAAGTGGTCTCGACTACAACACTGCTATTTATACAGCTACACTTTCCCTTTAAAGCTCCAGCACTGTGATCTCTGCACAGGTTTAAAGCCACTACATGTACATGTACATGTATTTACCAGTACATGTATCGATGAAATGTGATGGATATATTGATCAAGATAACCAAGAATGGCACAGTTAATATTCTTCTCAGTGAAAGAAAGAACCTCCGTTCAAAATATTAGTTTATCAAAATATCAATCAACGTCTGGCCCACAATTCTACAGGTATGCACCAGTAGAATTACACTCTCAAGTTTCACTGAACACCTACCGGTACGTGTAACTGAAATTGAGACACTAATTTTAATTGATTAGGGTATTAGTAAAATAGTCAAATAGTAAAATAGGAGATTTTATACGTTCAGGGCTCCTAACATTTACTGGACTCGATTCCTCATTAAAAGTAGAAAATAAGGCACACTACAAAGGCATCTTTTTGTCAGTTACCTGATCTTATTTATCAGTTTTAGAAATTACACAGTGAATTGAATAGACAGACCAAAACCAGACCATATACTGTTCTGCTTCTTGCATTGAAAAGAGTAACAATTGGCAGACTGCAATTTCAAAAATTGATTTCTAAGTTGAGGCAAAACACAAAAACATGTCCTTGTTTCATTTTCCAGCTTGGAAACTCCTTTAAATGTATTTCTATTCCTGCCACCCTAAAACTTTACAATGGAATGTTCAATACCAAGGTAGCAGAATTCACTTCACTGACTGTGACAAAGTGATTTTAATGCTGAATGAAAAGTAAATCTGCAGTAAATCTATGCATTAACTTATCACTTACATTTGCGCGTGTTCCATGCTGCTTTCTTAACAACTGGTAAAGTTATTCTGTTGGTTCTAATTTCATAAACTAAAACTACACTAAAAAAAAGTGCACTTAACACAGGGTACATATATTTCACAGGGATGCCAGTGGCTTGCAGTCCAAAGTCAGACAATTTTGGAAGTGGGTAAAGTAGGTGTAAAGTACAAGAAAATATGGATGGAAAATATGTGTGCAGGGACATGACTTTAATAACTAGCTGCACACAATGAACACCTATGGCTAAATACAACTGAGTATCCTGCCCCCTTTTCTAACAAACTACATGTACCTGTACATTGTACTGTTGAAAGAGTACGGCTTTTTTTTGCTTGCAAAAATGTAAACATTTCTGTTAGTTGTCTTGTGAGGCTAGCAATACCTTACCAGCGAAACAAAATGTAAATTTGGCAGCACATGATGTGCTGTGTTTTACATCCATCTTCCGTAAAGTGTATGTAACCTTAGTCCCAAACCCAACATCCAATGCTTCTTAAAATTCTGGCCAGTTTAGGATGAACTTTTTTTCACACTCCCATGAACAACAAACTGTACATTTTCACCACTTTCAACTTCCATTTTGACACCTTTAGAAGTCAAAACTTTAAAAGGTGATTTCCGATGTTCCACCAAAAGGCTCGGGTATAGCGATACTAAGTGAGCTCAGTCTATCATGGATAAGAAATACCCTTCAGGATGAGTTGCAAAAACCGGCACATACCAAAGATGGGGTGTGGGCACTGGAATGTACAGAATACTAATTGAAAAAAACGTAAACCACACCATGACCGCAAAATCCTACCGTGGGCCCATTATAGCCAGTGTGTTGGCAGGTCAACTGATGGCTCTTTGCGGTGGTTGCAGCAATTCATTGCAGATCTTTGTGTATACCGCACGCGCCATACGTATGGAAGTTATGTCTGGCCTAACGGTCTGGCCCACAAACCACAGTATGCTCATGCTCAGTGTACCAACCAAATGACTGCAACACAACCTTTGAAGATGCCAAGCGATCCGTGCTCCCCGTTAGAAATTTTTAGCAAGGGATCATTTCACATAGAGATTTCTCTGTGGTTAGACTACTCATACAAAACTTAGCTATGATGGAGAAGACCAGAACTTGAAGGCCTTGCCAACTGCCGATAAGGTTAAATTCATGGAACAAATTTAAAATCAGTGAGCAAAAGGAAAGGCAGACATTGCCGTGGAATGGGGAATGACACAATCCACACTGTGTACAATTACGAAAAACAAGGAGACCGTGACGAAGCAGTTTGAGAGCCAATCTGTCTCTCCAACAAGAAAGCCCTTGAGAATGGCAGCATATCCTGAGGTGAAGGAAGCTCTTCTGACATGGTTCAAGGCTGTGCGTACCGAGAACATCCCGGTTTCGGGGCCAATTTTGCAAGCAAAGGCCGGATCCCTCGCTACGCCGTTGGGCCATACCGACTTTGCCTGCATTGATGGATGGCTGTCTCGGATGGCTGCTGGAGAAGGAGCTGCCGTCACCTCTGATATGACAAAAGATTGGTTAGAAACCGGCCTTCCTAAGGTTCTTGCGGCATACGCTCCGAGAGACATCCTCAATGTTGACAAACTGGCATTTTCTATCGTCTTCTGCCCGACCGGTCACTCACCTTTAAGGGAGACATGCAACAGAGGTAAATAAAGCAAGGAGTGCCTTACGGCATTGATATGTGCCAACACGGATGGGAATGAGAATATGCCCCTGCTTGTCATTGGCAAGTCCAAGAAGCCTTGTTGTTTTGCAAGCGTCACATCGCTGCCGACCAAGTACAGGTATGAGGCCAAAAAAACTGCCTGGATGACATCCAAATTCTTCGAGGAATGGGTGTGAAATGTGGACAAACTGTACCAAACAAAAAAACGCAAGGTTGCAATCATCAATGACAACTGCCCTGCTCATCCACACATGCCAGGTTTGCAGAATGTGAAGTTGATCTTTCTGACCAAGAACACAATCGCCAAACTCCAGCCCATGGAGCAGGGGGTCATTCAAAACTTGAAAACCCACAATCGTCGCCAGCTAATCATGTCACTCCTTGGAGCTGTGGAAAAGAAGGAGTACAACCCCACCATGCTGGACACCATGATTCTTCTCAAGAAATCATGGAAAATGGTCAAGGAATCCACAATCGCACACTGTTTCGAGCATGCTGGCTTCAAGAAGAACGCTACAGCCGAAGACACGGATCAAGATGAGCCCGACAGCAGCACCAACCCCGCCGATCCAAACAATGATCTCTTCGATCAACTTTGAGAAGCCAGGATGGAAATCCCAATGGAAACCATGCTGGAGTTGTACATTGCAGTTGACGCAAAAATGAGATCCACCATGGAGCTCACCGATGACGCTATCATAGATGCCGTATCCTCCGCTGTAGATGAGGATAAGGCTGATGAGGATGAAGATGACACTTCCCCCTCCCGGCCATCTCCGTTGCTGAAGTTATGGAGTGTATGGACAAGATGCGCAACTTTGCATTGCAGAACAGCAACACTGAGGACATGTTTGACTGAATCTCTGACATGGAGAGAGATTGTTGGCCTTATTCCGAAGGGCACGGCAAAACAGAAAAAGATCACAGACTTCTTCAAGCAGTAACCAGTGTTGTATCCGAGACCTTGATGTCCAAGACCGAGACCAAGACCGAGACCAAGACCGAGACCAAGACCGAGACCTACTCAAACAAGACCAAGACCAGGACTTTGAGACCGAGGCTTTTGCAGGTCGAGACTGAGACCGAAACCAACCATAAACGAATGTTTAGTTTCTACCAAAAGGTAAATAGGGACAAACATACGGCAGTACAATTAAGTACAAAAAAAAATAAAATGAAAACATTAGCATAAACTCACACACACACACAAATAGGTCAAATATTTGTTATGTACCACATAAAAGACAGAATGAAAACACTTTCACACATGCACACAATTCATAGCGTGCGCACACACACAGACTGGTTCCCGCCCTGGCCCCACGTCAAGCAGGACACTACGTAGGGAACGGGAACCAGTCTAGTGTGCAGCTATTCACAACCTCATCTCCATGGTGTTAAGCAGCATGGCTACTCTGGATTGGAAATAAGTTACAACTTGGGACAAGGTTGTATCATGCTGAACTGACTAGTCTTCATTCCAGCATCAATTTCATTGTTTATTGAAAAAAATCTGAACATTACTGTGTTGTATTTATATCAGTGAATGAAGATTTGACTCGGGAGGAGGTAATTTTGCCTTTTGCAACAGCCTGCATGCATGGTAGCTAAATACGCATTCTGTTATGGTCTCGACTGGTCTCGAGGGGAAGACCTGAGACTATGGCATCCGAGACCGAGACCAAGACTGGCACTTTCGAGACTGAGACCCGCCCTCCCAAGACCGAGACTTTGACAGGGCGAGACCAAGACCGCAAAAAAAAGGTCTTGAGACCGGTCTTGGTCTCGAGATCTACAACACTGGCAGTAACCATGGAAACCCCGGCATGTTGACGCCACAAACGGCCTTTTTCAAGGCCAACCATGGCACCATGTGAAATGCGTCCCCATCGCGGTGCTGGAAATGTGCAGAATTTTGTGTAGCCAAATCTCACTCCCAAAAATAAACAAAAGTTTGAAAATAAAGAACGAAGAACAAAAGATTAAGACAGACACCAATAGCATTTATGTTTTTATAAAATGTTATTGCAGCGCAACAAGGTGCACCCTCATGTGATGAAAAAAGTCGGCCGACTCATCGGGAATTCCTGCACTAGTACACATGTGCAAGGCGCTGCATTGCGGTGTGGTATCAGAAATGGGACCACAACAATGCGTCACACATGCACAATGCAAAAGTAAGATTTGCCACACAAAGGTACACAGTTTAAATGATTTACAGTACATGTAATGTGTTATATCAGCCGATTGACAACAAAAATCCTCAGCAAAAATGTCTTTCTATGGCTTATTTATTTGAGAGGATTTAAGAGCCGAGTTTAACACAAACTGTCACTTGAACCAATGAAGGAAAATACTACACACTATCATGATGTCCAGTTATTGAAAACACACATCAGGCCTCAGAAGTGTGTTAAGAGTACAGTTGCAGAACGGTTGCAATATTGCTTAGTTTGACCCCTGTTAAAAGCCAACTTACCGAGGCTTCATCCCCCTGTGCAAGTACACCCATTGAGACAAGTACGTAGCCCTTAGCTCCGGCATTAGCATCTTCAGCATTAGACAACAGCAGCCACTTGTTCATAATGGAGTGATTATCAGCCTCATACACTGTCCCAATGTCCAGCTCAAAATTTCCAATGAAGGCATCACTACGAAGTTTCCGCGAATTGAACACCTAAATTGTAGGAAAAAAAGAAGAAATTATAGACCTTTTTCCAATGACATCACGATCGTGCTGGACCTATTTGTTGTGATGGTAATGAGTGCATAGTGTTGTGATGGTAATCTACTTATTCAAGATGAAATAAGCAAGCATACAGCATTTGCATGTGGGCTTGCACATGGTTGAAGCTGCCCCTAGGAATATATGCGATCACTCGTGGCCAAGGCGGTCCACAGGTGGTAGTATTGTTTACGTTTAGTCACATGGGTGAAAAGGGTCTACAACAGGTCTTTTTGTCATTACAGTAACTTAAATGCCAGTCAACTTTTCCGATGGGAATTGGTCATGTGCAATAAACTGTATTCAAAATTTGTTTGTTTTAAATGAATATTACTACCAATCCTACAGATTTTTGAGGCCAATATTTATCCTTGATAAGTGAGACACAGGGGTTTCAAAATATACTCCATTTTAATCTTAATCATTTCTGTGAACCCTCTAAATGATGAAGTAAATTTACCAAAAAGATCATAATACTGGATAAGCAATCATTACTTTTTTTTACATAATGCATAAAAATTCCTTTCAAAGACATGATCTCATTTTACCTGAAAGTTTATAACCTCATCAAAGAGTTCAGCTGGGCTGGCATGAAAGTTGAAGAAAAATACCTGCAATAGAAACAAAAATATGTCATGGACTGTATGTTGACCAGTTGAGAACAGCTGTGTGGCCTGCTCACAAGAGCTATGCATGTACCGGTACATGACGCGTACACCTATGGAGGACATCTATGCGTACACCTTGTTCACATATGTGAACTTACCACTGCATGTAAAAAGCACACAGCTGGGGTTGAATTAACTCCAATATCTTGGTGCCCCGCAGGGCCAGTGGGAAGTGCACCGCACTGGCCCTCATGAAAATTTGGTGGCCCAGGTTGAGTACATGTAATGAAATTGATCAGGCCTACCACACATGCCCATTTGAGTCAGTCAAACCTCACCAAAACAGCTGATTGGCAAGCCTGGCTGGATTTAAATGCACTTTTTGAGGCCACAAAAATTAGTTCCGCTTCTAGTTAGACGTCCAATCCTAATTGTTGGCACGACTATAAAATCTATATTGAGGTAATTCTGGAAATTAGGGGTCAAAAAGTGTCACATTTTAACGTCCCTGTTACACAGACCTTTGTTATTTGACATGGGAAATATCACTGGAATTGATTTCAAACTGTTAGTATTTGTTTGGCAGGTAATTTGCATTCCTTTATCACTCGTGGAAATTAGAAAATGTGCTCTGAACTTGGAAAATCATATGTCACATGTGACAGGGACACGAAAAAAATGGACATCTAAATTTTGGAATTACCCATTGGTTAGTTAGAAAAAAATATTAAAAAATTTTTAAAAAGGAAAAAAAATCCTGTCTTTCCTGCCTTCACAAACCACCATTGAAAAATTCCTTTACATCTAAAAGTGTGTATTTTTTGGCCTGCTTGCCTGTACATAAACAACATTTGGAAAGAAAGTTCTGTTAACCGGTATTTTCACAAGTTCCGGGCCCTTTGCATTTCGCTATGGTGGTGGTGAATACACGCACACAATATCGCTCAATGTATAGAAGCAAGACTTCGTTGATTCCCGATGCACCACGCCATGCCAAAGAAGGCGTGATGGTAAAGTGGCAATGTATCCCGGTCAAAATAGCATCGTACAATTCACTGTAAACACACGCACTTCTACAGCTGTACCTGGCAGCATTTTTCATGATTGCCCAAGTCAATATCCAGAATGTCCGCGAATATGCTCCGATGCATACCCCACCCAACTTCAGTTTGATGTGAAGCGGAGAAAAGATTTTCTTTGGATAGGTCTGTATGGAGGTGACACCGTCATTGAACCCTGTTTTTTTTAAGGCAATCTCAATGGTGAACGTTTACCTTGAGATTACCTTAAGATAATAATGACCTAAGTTCAGAATCGTCGCAGCAGTTGAGACCTTAAGAGGACAGAGAGACGTAATCAGGAATGCATTGAGAGTGATGAGAACCAGAGCTGAATCTTGTATTGAAAGGAATGGGGGGCACGTCGAAGGACAAGGGGTTAGGTCAAGACAGGCATAAGCACCCAAATGTTAAATCACTGAATAAAATTTTGTTAAGGACACACTAGTTTTTTTTTTAAGGTATGAAAATTGTCGGAGTTAGGCTGTGGTGAATCTGATGTAAGACCAGGTCTGACATGGTTGATTGAACTGCGTCATGCTCAGTCATCTGTGATAGTAAATTGGATTTCTTGGTGTCATAAGAAAGAGGACATCATTAGTCAATGAGAAGTGTATAGCATCAAGCTTTTCTGCATTTAGAATTTTTTTTCCAGGGCTTTAAAGAGCATACAGTATGAGGTCAATTTTTGTTTGAAATCCTTCTTATTCTAGTTATCTGCATAATTTCAACCCGATGGGACACGTACTTAAAGAGGTATAGGGTTTTTAAGAGTGCACTTTTAAGGTCACATGACTTGGCACCTAATGAAGCCATCATCAGAGTTGGTTCGTTTTTGTCTTTCACACATCCTTTCTAGTTATCTGCAAAATTTCAACCCAATGAGACACGTGCTTCAGGAGATATAGGGCTTTAAAGAGGGCACATTTAATGACACGTGACTTGGCACGGGATGACATCATCACCTTAGGGCAATTTTTGTCTATATCCCTTCCCTTTCTAGTTACCTGCAAAGTGTCAACCCAATGAGACATGTACTTTTATACTGCTTTTAAGAGTGCACCTTTAATGTCATGTGACGCCTGATGATGTCATCATCACATGTGGGCAATTTTCGTCTGTATCCCTTCCCTTTCTAGTTATCTGCAAGGTTTCAACCTTAAGGTCACATGACTTTGTACTTTGTACCGTCATCATCACATGTGGTCCGTTTTCAACGCAATCGGACACGTACTTCAGGAGGTATAGGCCTCTGAAATTGGCACCCTAAATGCCATGTCACATGATAGGTGGTGACGTCATGATGATGATTTTTTTAATGGGCCCTGTCTACCCTCAGGGCCAGGTATGGACTTACATGTAATATGTATCAAGTCTGATTGAAAAAGAGAGCTTTAGTCTTGCTGTTGAAAAACGTGTAAAAAAATATTGGAAAATATCAAATATTATAAATTCCACAATAAATCAGGTGATTACATCATTATGATGTCATGTTTCGGAAGACACCCTTGCTATACATTACTTGAGTATGTAAAGTTTCAAAGTCATATGACTTTCTTTAATGCCCAAAGATGCGACAAGAAAAACAGCTGGAAGTTTCGCTCACCCTGTGTGGCTGTTGAAAAATGTGTACAGAACAAGGGGAAAATATTAAATATTTCAAATTCCATAATAAATCAGGTGATGATGTCATCAAGAGGTCATGTTTCACGAAAGACCTTTGCTGTATATTATTTATGTGTGTAAAGTTTCAAAGTCATGTGACTTTGTTTAATGCCAAAAGAGGTGATGAGAAAAAGGGGGGAAGACCAAGAAGAAGAAAAAACTCCCCAAAATTTAAACAAATCAAAACTAAGTAGAAAAACAAAGCTTTTCCGCATAGCGTACTATGCCAAGAAGCCAATAAATGGTGGCTGCCAATTTCCAAAATATTTAGCCATGTCCAAGAAATGCAGAAATTAATCTCTGATTCCTTTTTTTCAAAACACACTTACTATATACACGTATGAGTACATCATTGTTAACTTGTTTTCAAAGATGGACTAAGCAGATATTACACGAGTGTGGTGTCAATGTTACATCTGTAACACTGTTCTCAAGGGCAAACAAGATCACTCTATGAAAATTTTACAAGAAATGACACACATGTGTGGGAATCATTGAATATTGACAATTAAAAGCCTTTTGCTTGGCAAAGAATTTAAATATAAAATAAGTACATGTACATCACATGGCATTTTCAACAATTAGCAGAAGACTTAGTTAGAACCCATTTTCCGCACCATGACATTAATTCTTTAGAGAAAAACATTTCTTCTGTTCACTTCAATATTAAATGAAATAGCTGATTCTAAAATTGCAAAGTTTCTATTGTCTTGTGTTTGTGTTCACTGGCCTTTGTGGTGAGGAGATTGGGATGTAATATGCACAAGGTCAATGTTACATCCGCAATAGTTTATCAACACTTTTACCCAGATTTAAGTCTTTAGAGATTATAAATTCTTTAGTCGATGAATGACTATAATCTGTATATTCAATACAGCTTATCAGTTGGATTCTTTGAGATTGCTGTGTTTGAAGGACAACTTTCAAAAATAAAAATAGTACTTCTGTTCAAGTTGTAACTGAACAAGTACATTTGTCTAGTATCATTTTTTTGTTTTGAGTCTTTTTCAATCCATAAAAATGATTTTTTGATACCTGCTGCATACAAGGTAAACTACTGACCAAATTTCCCCGGAATCTGAAGATAATTTGAGCTGCAGTTAAACTGAATATTTTTTCGTTGTGAGAAACTAGGAAAATGACTGCTACGGTCAACAAAGGCCTGGGGTTTGCATGTCGTGTGTGCATATTTATACTCGACAGATCGGATTGTGGTATTGGTATTCTCTGTTATGCAGGGGTCAGCGTGTTTCCTGTTTGTGGTTAACTCCTTTCGTGTCTGTTGGACTTGATAAATGCTGACAAGCTAAGCATGCTTGCATGTCAACTAAAATTCTGACCTGTACAGCACACTCTAACCAGCTTTGGCATGCACACAATTGCTAAAATTAGGCTAGTCAAATTTTCAAGCTCTTGCAACATTAAATGCTCTAAGAAAACTTACTTGAATCAACCACTGTACTACTTTGAGATTTTTACTCGAAAGGTTTGTTTTCAATTTATAAGCAGTAGTTCAGAATGTATACTGTACCTCGTCCCAGTAAGGCCTGTTGGTAGACTTCTTCACTCTAGTCATCTTTGTCTGGTTTGAAACAGTTACTTTAAGCACAGGGTGAATGTTGCCCCCTGCTAGTTGACGTGCCTCCCAAACTTTGACTCGAACCTGGAAATCTTGAGGTTTCTTGGACAGCTTGCCTCTGCGCTTTTTTCTCTTGCGCATACCGGCACTGAGAAAAGGTAAAGGTAAATATTCGCACATTATGTTTGCAATATCAACAAAATTAAATGTATTTTCAGCTCAAACAGTCTCATTACACATTATGGCAGCTCACTGATGGTGTGCGTAAAATGAACATTCAGAATAACAGCCGCCATACTGCTAACTTTTTCTCACCTTTGTCAGCATTAATTTTTCATAATTCTTATGTTGTTTCTTTGAAATGTTGCTGGACTTTGTTACATGTTATACATGAACTTCAGATTTACCTTGCAGAACTTTCTAGAGAAATCTATTTTCATTTCATCTCTACATGTATTACAGATCTTAAAACTTTATATGTTAAAGGGCCAATGGCAATTCATAGGACTTTACCAAAGAGCATATACATACCTGTACAGAAGATAGTGTGAACATCAGTATTCCTACTGAACGAATTCAATGGCAACACAATAGAAAAATGTACATCAATTTCTCAATACATGTACAAGGACAGAAAAAAGGATAACAAGACATGACTCTTGTCCAATGAGCTTGACTTACATTGCAGCAGCACCTCCTCCGCCCCCTCCTCCACCATCCTCATCACCACCATCCCCTTCACCACCTTCATCACCATCATCTCCTTCATCCTCATCTGCATCACCTTCATCTGCATCACCATCAGCAGCTGTTCCTGTTGTACAGCAATATTTCTTTCAATTATATTTTTCTCCAATAAATGTTTTATTTTTTATTTCACACATGTACATTATTTTGATAAAATTAATAATTCTTAGCAAAACAGGTTTGTTTCAAGAATAGTTTTGCTCTGGAAATTTCCACTCCCGTGTGGCTGTTGATACAGACACTGACAAACCACAATGCAATACAGTGAAACACCGCGATAATGAACAAAATGGGGTCCACGCTAAATGTTCGGTACAGCGGTCGTTTGGTATAGTGAATTTAACTGCCAAATGTTTCATTGCCATGTTGAAAAGCTCCTTCTCTTGTCTAACCACAGTGCACCCTCTTGTGATACCTTGGTTAGCTGTTTTCCTGATGTTTTGCTGTTGCATTCAAGTACAAGGTTTCTAGAAATGTATCTGTTAAATATTTTTGTTTCTTACTTAAACTTGAGTCAAAAAATTGATATCAAGTTTATCCTAAAAGTTGTGAAACTACCGCCCAGGACCAATCTCTGATGCATGCTGTGGCGAATCTCGGTTGATTTGTGTATCAGTGGCGCCCTCTTTAGACTACTGTTAGTGCAATGCCACCGTGCGCATACGTGCGGTTTTCTTCCACACCCGATCATGTGGAGTCACAAAACCAGTGTCTATTCAATACCATTGACAGCTAGTGGCTTTCCCTTCTAATCCTTGGGGAAATAATGGCCACTTGTCACTTTCCAACATAAAAAAAATGAATGTTTCATCCGGTTGACGTTCGGGAATTACAAACGGCAACTGAGTGTTAGGCAGGTTCTGTGCACAAATTATTGGGAGCCAAGGACGATGTTCTGTACAGCCAAATGTTCAGTATAGCGACGTTCCACTGTACAAAGATTTCCTATTATGAATACAACACTAAAATAATGCTCAATATTGCCACTGAAAATCAACAAAACTAGTTTTCTGCAAAAGTAAGTTCTGAGAGTTGTACCAACAATTATTTATGACTTGGACCAATAACACCCAAGAGGTTTAGTCAATCAGATGTATGTATGTGCAACTGTGAACCAATCAGGGCGTAACTTCAAAGGGCACAATGCTTGTTTTGGAGAGAAAGTGAATACAATATACATGTATGCCTCATTCTTTTAAAACATATCAAGCAAGCTGGATCATGTGGTAAAGTACATATGTTTCACAAAATGGGGTCACATGTTCTGTCCATTAGTGAAATAAAAAAAACAGAATATACATGTATGTACGTATGATTTGTATTACAACGTGCATACATGTATATAATCAAGTACATGTACATTACGGTACATTGCAAGTGAAAGTTAACCTTTGAATGGGAAATTTTTTTCACACTTTTTTCTTTTTCAATGGAATTCATTTCCATTTAACAAACTGAGAAAAACTTTTCCCAAAGGAGAAAAGATTACAAGGTGGGGTAGGGAAAATAAAAACCACATGTGGTCCAGGTTCAGATAAAGAAATGTTGAGATGGGAGGATTAATACTTTTGGCAGATTGGATGCTCAGTATAAAAGAATTTAACGATGGGGAGAGGAAAAAATAAAATCCACTAGTGGACCAGGTTTGGGAAAAATAATTAGTATCCCGTAAAATATTCTTGAGTCCAGGATATAATATTTTCAGTCTTCGGAAATATATATATTCTGAGTCAGCACAAATTCTAGTCATGCTGACAATATTGATAGTCTAGTGAAACAAATGTTCCAAGGCCAAGGGAAATAATATGTAATCATCAGTGTCAGACCTAAGGGGATGGGAGCAGTGTTGAAATTCCCTCTGGTCTATGTCCCAAGTGCTGCCCATCTGCCCATGAAGATCGAGGAAGAGGCAGAGCAGGATTTGACCTGCGAGTAAAAGGGAAGGAGGACCAGAGCTGTTCCATGGTACCTCCTCCAAATCCTTCAAGACCAACGGTAAGTTAGCAACAGGTTTCTCCTGTCTAGAGATGGATGGAATTAAATCAACCCTTTCACTTGGGAAGTTCACCAGACCTATTTCTGAACAAAGTCTTATGTGAAAGTGTGGATAGACACGAAAACCTCATGAATTATCTTGAATGAGGTGACACTTTTTGGGGGGGTACCCCAAGTGAGACTGCAGTGAGAGCTGGACAACAGGGGAAAATGCTTTCAAGTCATAAAGGAAGCGACTCAGATAAGCTATGAACAATGAAAAAGGTCAGAGACTGAAGAAAAGTTTATCTACATCGAACGAGGAGTCATTGCCAGAAGACCGGTTAAAAGTCAGGTGGAAGTTACGCTTAGTGACGATGAACAGCTCCAGTACATGCAAATGAAGGTGAAACATTTCTGGAAAATGAAAAAAAAAGTCTTGTCTTAAATACAGAACGGTCGTACACATTCCTGAATAGAAGGACTCCAGCCGTTTTACTGCATGCATGGGAAATCAAGGTCTAAGCGCATGCATCCCAGCTCATCATCACCACTGATGACATCACCCACAACTTTGATAAAGGTTTTCAAACCAGGAGTGATATTTGAAGAAACTGAAAATCTGGGAGGAAAAATTATATTGGCCTCCTTCAGCACCAGTATGTCCCTAATCCTCCATTTTAACAACTACCTGCAGAGTCCTCACTAGATTTTGTTCTATTAATTTCTGATAAAGCAAAAAAAAATTCTGCTTCCAGTTTCCAGACGCTTTTAACTGGCAAGTTAGAGCAAATCAAAACAAAACTTTTAAAAATAATATTTAAAATCTTGTTATCTTTTCTTTCTTCAGAAAACACCGCCCACAAACATTTTTCACATCAACACGCTTGTATTTATGTTTTCCTACTTACTTCCTATTTTTCAAAAGAAACTCTCCCCACCACCTAGAGTAGGCCGAGTCTATCAGTGAATACCTACACAGATGACCAATACATTTGCCTATTTCCCGAGACCATTATGCCATTCACTAAATTCTCAATCTATCAATAGTGCGCCCTCATCTCACACAATGCTAAGCAGAATGGCTGCCACATTTTTTCTGTTTTTCGAAGCTCAAGAGTGCCAAGAACAAGTGGGGAGGAAGGGTGGGAGAGGGGTAATCTGGGTAGGTATTCAGTGGTAGACTCGGCCCACTCTACAGGAGGTGGGGGAGAGTCTACTGCCTACTCATCAGATTTACCGATACTAATTGCAGAGTACCACCTCACCAAGAATGTGGGTAGACAAGGTCTAAAGTTCATGTAGGTACTTGGAAGGGGATGATAAAAAAATATGAGTATCAGCCAGTGTTGTAGTCGAGTACTTTTTTCCCGAGTACCGAGTACTGCCGAGTACTTTGACTGCCGAGGTAAGTTAACTTAAAGGATTTTTTTATCGAGTACTGTTAATCGAGTACAAGTACTTTGATGCTTGAGTACAATTTTTGGATGTCGAGTCGAGTATTTTGTAGCCCGAGTATAAGAACTGTAGTTCGAGTACGAGTACTTGGACGTCCAAGTACGAGTACTCTGAAAATGGTCTTCAAGTAGTACTCAAGTACGAATACCGAGTATGAGTACTACAACACTGGTATCAGCATGAGTATTGGCATGCCTTGGCCTCAACAGATCAACTAGACCGACCTACTAGTGTATGCCTTCCCACCTATCTCACTAATCCCGCTCTCCAAGATGGAACACACACACACTGACGGATATTACTACTTGCCCCATTCTGGCTGCATCAATCCTGGTTCTTCAAACTAAATAGACTTTTGGTTCCCCCACTATTCGTCCTCCCGACCAGACTGGACATCCTTCAACAGCCCAAGTCAGGTATCCTGGATCCAGCACCCAAGGACCTACATTTAACGTGTTGGATGATGTCTAACAATCCTTCTCCAGCCATGGCAACACAGGGACCATGCTTATCCACCTGCAAGATTTACGACAACAGAATGTGGCATTGTGCTACATGGTGCAACGAACAGGCTGTGTCTCCAACCATCGTTCCTCTTAGCACTATAGTAGATTTCTTCATGTACTTTTCCACTCAGGTCTATAAGTCTCCATAATCCCCAACTATATGTACAGATCAGCCTAGGCCATCATACCGCTACATGTCAACTTCTATTCGACAGCTCCTCCATCTTCCACAACATGGCCCTTAATCATCTTCTGTGTGCTACATGTATGTTCATTGAAAGCCCCCACACTAAGTGGCTAATCATATCTTGGGACCTAAGCAAAGTCCTCCACATGCTTACTGAACCCCCCCCCCATCCCCCAGAGCCCCTCAGTGACGCCTCCCTAATACTGGTACATGCCACCATCGCATTAGCCTTCCTCCTGGCTGTCACTACTTCCAGATAAGGCAAGCCCTCTCAATTGCTGAAGGTCATATTTGCTGGGAGCTGCATGATGTCCACCTCATTACAACCATCAGCTTTGTGACGAAGAATCAGACCTTGTCGTTTGAGCCGCCGGATATTACTGTGCCCTCAATTGCCTCACAAACCATAGACAACATGGATTACATGTACCATAAATAAACACTCGGCAATGTCGGAGAATAAATTTTTAAAAAATTGTCTGGATTTTGAGTAATTAAAAGGGAGTCCCCGTGTCATGGAGTCATGGAGCACATGAAATGTGTATATTACAACAAACTTAACTTGCTCTGCTGTGGCAACATGGGTTATTTGCCCACATTTTATTTATTCTCGTGGTGTAGTTTGGCACACAAAATAATTAACACTGAGAAACTACGTGTAGTATTCCGTTACTGAAAGGTTTCTTTCTACCGACAAATAAAATCCACTGCTTAAATTGTATGTTTCTTCATGTAGCAAATCTTGTCTTTTCGCCGATTGCGTTTGGCGTGACATATCGGGTCTCTTTCAACTTGGGTTTACTGATGACATGTCACTTTCTGTGGTCACATGGTTATTGGAAAAAGTCAGCGATTGAACTGTCCATGAATGGGTACAAAGCTAGCAGTCAGGATGTCACGGCGGGTGTGGATGCAGTGCATTTTTCGCAATGCGGTGCTGCATGCACGAAGTCCCGTGGTGGTTTTTTTAGAGATTGGGTGATGTTTTTCGATTGGCGTCACGAAAACGTTGAGATAACCTGATACAAGGCATTTATTCTGAAATTACGGTATATACATCTGGCAATACATGCAAATGTAATTCAAACACATGACAACATGTGGATACATACATGTATCTGTACATGTCCACACACATGTATATGGTGCACATGATGGGCATCCATCCAAGTCGGTTATACGCTAGGCTAGGCTGTGTGGTTATAACACTCAATTCTGTTAGGTCCCCTTGATAGAGCTATAATGGGAATCTACTGTAATTCAGCTGTTTGATGTTCAGTGCTAGTTTCCAACCTTCAACATAGCCAGCTTTGATTTCGCCTGTCGCATTGTATTTTGCCCCAAACCGAGAAACATAATGCCTTGAAATTTTAGTCTTCCTCAAGTAATCTTCTGGATATTTCAGAGAATTAAAGTACTTTTGTCGGAGACTAATTTTCTTCCACGTTCCATATTCAGAGGTGCTCATGTTTGAAACCACAGAGAACAAAAACTTATGCGAAAAAGTGTGAAAATCTTTTCTCACTAGTGGGAAAATCTGTGAAAAAACTTTTCTCATTTGTGGGAAAAAGTATGAAAATCTTTTCCCACTTGGGGGAAAAATCTGTGAAAAATTTTTCCACTTGTGTGAAAAGGTGTGAAAAGATTTTCCCATTTTGGTGTTAACTTTCAATTGCACTGTACTGTACTTCTTTTCCATGTTGATGAAAACAAACGGTACATGTACGGGTACATGTACATGTACATAAAGTACAGCACTGTTCATGTACTGGTTTTTTGTACATACATGCACATGTACCATAACTTTTGGAATATAAGCCACGGCTTATACGTTCATTCACACCCTGAAAAACATCCCTGCGGCTTATACTCCAGGTGGTTTATACGGCAACATTTGAAGAATGAAATCAGTCACTAAACGTGTGTCATGTCTCAGCACAACCAAGCCCAAGCCACTGGCCAGCTGGTCACACGTGCAAGCAGCACAGCACTCTGGGGATAAGGCAGTCATGTTTTCATTGGTTGACATTTACATCCACTCTACTCAAGTGTTGAAAATACAGGAATATACATGCACATGTAGTCCAGAGGGGCTGAATAGACTTGTACATCTACCATAAGTACCGTTCACACCTAAAAAAAATTGTGTGGTGCGTTTGTTTTTGTCTTTTATGGTTGTGTAATCCATGTTATTTCACTGGCCATGTGGTGACTGTTGAAAAATAAAGAACAAAAAGAACTGCTGCATGGCTACTCCAGCAAGGACTCTAATCCAGCACTCTGCGTGGCCTGTTTTGAAAATTACGGTATAAACTGCATTACCACGGAGGGAAAACATCCAAAGACCAAAAACCCATATTTTTCGAATTCTTGAAAGCCGCAGCTCCAGAAGAAAGTGCACTATGAGAAAATCTGAAAAATGTTCAAGGACCCCTGTCCCCCTTAAGGGTATAGGCCTACATGATCTTACCTGTAGTCTGTCCCCCTCCACCTCCGCTACCACCTCCTTTGGTAGCCCCTTCGGATCCTGGGGGTGGTGCGTACTTTATTTGTATTGAAATTTCTCCCTATGAAAAGAACAATTTGGAAAGAAATGTTACAGGAAGCAACATTCCTGTGCCTGACCATGACCGTATCTTAAATCTGGCTCAACTGGTAGAAACATTGTATCTAGCAAAAGAAATCATCCTTCAACCAATCCATAATGCTCAAGCCAAGCAAATTTTGTTAACATATTTCCTCCCAGTTCCAAGAAGTAGGATGGGTTACGCTATTATCGTGGTTGTTATCACATTTCCCGATAGAAGAAACGATTGCTCACTCACCTTCCTGAATTATCCTATCCTTGATGTTATTTAACTCTTACTTTTTAACTTCATTCATACAATTTTGTTTGTGGTTCAATTCCTTCACTCTACAACAGCTTAGAAAATGTGTGCACACCATATGCAAGCGAAGGTGGAGTCTTTATTATTGTGGTAACGAGAAATGGTTTCTACGGTGGCCTTTAAAGTACTTTGTTCATGAATATTACAGTAGATAAAAAAAATGATTTCGTTTTCAGAGCAAACAAAACAGCCTCTTTTTGTGACGTGTTTTAATAATAAGTGACTCTCATTTTTTTTATCTTCTCCCTAAAGATGCCAAACACCAAGAGAATGAGATGGGGAATATTGCACTGCGTCACCTTACACGTATTAATCCAGCAAGGAATGACTTTTTAAAAAATTTTTACCAAATCTTAAATGCAGCTACAACTTTGCCATTCATTTTATTATTGAAATTATTGTATGCCGAAAGAATAATAAATATGTGGGTATCACAAAATTTCATGTTTTTGGTGGACTCATTTTTTTATCAATGTCTGAAACTATCATAAAAAAAAGTCTGCTTTCCAAGTTCTACTGGTAATTCCTCAAGAGTTACATGTATAACCATATCATTAGACCTGAACTATTTTACTCAAAATCAATGTTAACAATTCTAAATGTCCCTTGCAAAATTCTTCAGGTTGCATAGGAAGAGCTAAAAAATGGAGACAAAAAAAGGTAAAAAAAATTAAGACAATAATGCCAATGTAATTATTCACTATCAATTGCCCTGTCTATTGCGCATGCAGAAGTTTTTCAGCGCAGAAGCCCTTATTTTGACTCCAAAAAAACTAGGCACTTTCGCAGTTAAAATGCGTTTTTAGACACCTTGCAGAAGTTTTTCAGCGCAGAAGCCCTTATTTTGACTCCAAAAAAACTAGGCACTTTCGCAGTTAAAATGCGTTTTTAGACACCTTTGACCATTTTGGAATTGACATATGAGAACCCAGCAATGGACATTCAAGGGCAGGGTGGTGTTAGCACTAACTGTTAAAGAGATAGATGGTAGGTACGGACAGACACAGTGAAAGAAAATTTACGGAAATTACATCTTTTATTAAAAATGATCGAAACTTTGCCAAATTTTTCATTCTGTTTCACAAAACTAATCCTCAGCANAATGTAAGGGACTGTGATATAGCATTATTTTGGCGAAACTTGATATGCTCTAATTGCCGGCGGAGGGCCTCTCGTGGAGCGCCTTGACCTGCTCGTTTGTTAGTTTGTTACATTTTGCGCACGCACGCACAAAACACATAAAAAGTACATGTATAACAATTACCTCGAAACTAGCCAACCCTTCCTGGGCATGGTAAAAAAAAAACAGGAGCCCAAACTAGATGCCAATTTCCGGTGCGCTAACCTTTCGTACTAGTGTGGAGTTGTGAACAAAAGACGTCCACACGATGCAGGAAGGAAAGACATTCTGTGGACCTACCCATGTCCACCGGAAGTTTTACATTCTCTGAAAAAGAGGTTTAAAGGCATTTGAGGGTTAGAGTCATCCGTCGTAAAAGGAGATGAATAGTGAAGGAAACGTTTTACAGAAATTCAGCCGAAAATTGTGTTTCCCTGTTCAAGAAAATGAGAACTTTAATCGATTGTTTTAATTTAAGTGCAAGAAAACAAAATAATGTTCACACTAGGTAAGTAATGCACAGTGGTTTAAGATGCAGACATTTGTAAAAAAAAAAATTCTTGAGTTTATGCTTTTTTCTGTTCAGTGGTATCTAATAAAATTATTTTTGCCCTTGAAACGTTTTCATCCATGATATTTCTTGTATAATTCAATATATTTCGTAATGATACACTTTCTTGTTCTGGGTTGGACATTTTACAGTGGGAACTTTCATGCAACATTAAACCCCTGTTTTCTATTAGATAATCTACTATCTAGTAATAAACCTATACGTTATTTTGTAGCCTATTTAACACTCTTTCAGATGATGTGACCTTTGATGTGAAATATCTAGTTGAAAGTGCAAAAATTCGCTGCAACTTGGAATGGTAAATTATGTCGCAGTTTTCAAATTAGCTTAATATACTCACCAATGTCTTTGATGATACATACTTAAAATCGGCCATTAACGGCCATGGCAAAAATGTTTACTTTATTCATAAATTGGTAAATTGATGTTTTAGCTACAAAGATAATCAAGCGGAAAATTGCCGCAATTCATCGTTGTGCCGAAAAAAATAATTTTGTGAGCAGTCCTCAGCCGGAATTAACGCGCGTTGACGAAGAAATAAACAGCGCCCTCTGGTGTCGACATTCGTACAACACATTGCAAGGGGATCGGTATCGCGCGTTCAACGTCGTCGCTACAGCTAGACAGGAATCAGCTTTGTTTTAAGAGAGCAATTATCTCGGAAAACGACCCAAGAATATAATTTGACTGACGTCTTTCATCGTTTATGGCTGAAATCCAACCCAGTAGTGCGCTCCTTTCGTTACACCAACAACTGTAGCCTACATACTGCGACGGGGATCATCATGTTCGCTCCTGCCCCAAGAAAATGACAGATTTCGGAGTCCACATCGAAGACGAGCTTTTTAATTCATTCCTCATCTAGATAACCTACTCTGACAGGTAACATTTTATATATTGTTTCCTGGAGAAAAGATCACCTGGAGGAAACATCATATCACAGCGATATTTATTTACGTGGGCCTACTCGGTTTGAAAGAAATTAAAATAATCAGCATACCTTGTTACTTTTGCTATGGGTCATTCCACGAAGATGAGGCACACTTTGTGACGGTGTTCCTTGTTACATCCGCAACCCTAAATATTTCTTTTCAGAATGTGGATTCGAAATTGACATTGATATAAATTTTGCAAGGTTCTTGCAGGGTGTGCTTTATCCTTGCATAGTAATATGAGTTAACTCTGTGATAATGTAAAAATAACAGGCTGTAAGGGTTGTTTATGTAACAAGGGACACTGTCACAAAGCGTGTCTCAACTTCTTGGAATGACCCTATTATTTCATTTAGAGACCACTCA